ATAGTGTGCACCCACGTCGGGTGTTGTGTGTTATCCCGGTGGTGCTTGCTAAATAAAGAAGTGCCTCCAAATAGAGGCCGACCGAAACTGAATTTGACTTTCGGCCGAAACTGAAAGTAAACCGAAAGTTTACTTTTTGGCTTCGGCCGAAACAGAAGCTATGCCGAACGAGGCCATTTGCCAACTTTCGGCGCCGAAACCAAAACCGAATTTCGGTCGGCCTCTAATTAGTAGACCGCGGTTGCGGCTGTAACCTCGCTCGCAAGCTGCTGCTGCTGACGTGTGTGTGTGTGTTTGCAGCCTATGGCATAGGATTGCCTAGCGCCGACTGACCGGCTGATAGACGTAGCACTAGCGTTATATTCTAAAAATAGATCTTCGGTTGACGAATGAAAGTCAATATCAGTTTCGGCCGAAACCGAAAGTAAACCGAAAGAATTTCGGTCGGCCTCTACCTCCAAGTCTTAGTGTCCCCGAGTTGAGTCTCTACATATGTACGTACGTTGAACTTCTTTCGCACAGTACGTCGCCAACCGTGCTAATGGGTGTTGATGATGCTGTGCAGGTGATGATCGCTCACCTTCGACAACAGCTTTCGGAGCTGCAGGTGGAACACGAGGAGCTAATGTTGTCACGTCGCCGCGAACAGACGCTGCAGGACCAGGTTAGTGTGCCCTGACACCAGAGTGCGTCTCGTTATGCTTTAAGACTGACATTGAATAAACGATCGAACAAATTGTACTCTTGCCGAGAGCAGCGTTGTGTTAAACTCTGAACACATTTTAAACATGTGTGCCGCTTATAGTCAATACTTTTCACTTCATTGGGCAGTTAACCAGTTGAAAACCCATTTGACATGGTGTACATTTATCACAAGAAAGACAGGAGTTGAATACGTGGAGAAAATCCTGGCGCAGTGGCACAAGGAGAAAGTAAATCTGGCAATTAAATAATATTTTTTCACAACTCTTTGTCAATCCAATACTGAATACTTCAGCGCGCTGATCAGTGTGGGTTGTTGAAGGAGTGCCGAGTGGGCTATCGCCAGTTCAGATATCATTCTCTACTGATGTTAGCCATTCCAGGAGTTGAACTCAGGTTGCTGGATTCATAGCACAGTGCGCTAACCACTGTACCACCACTCCACACTGTAAAGAAGAAACAAGATGGGAAAAAGAAGCAAACGTTATCTGCCGCGCACTTAGGTTCTGCAGTTTGAACGCAGGCCTGTATGCCCAGTGCAAGTGACATAGCCAAATGTATATACCACGCACCGGTACACCGGTGCGTGGTATATACATTTTGTCCCTCGTGGAGAGTGGCAGTGCAGCGGTAAGCGCGCTGCGCTACGAAACCCAACTACCCGAGTTCGATTTTCATGGCCAATGCCAGTGATCATTATCTGAACTGGTCCTGGGTCTCCCCTAGGTCGACTCAGCCTCAAATGAATCCCTGGTGCAGTGTGTAAGCATCGCCACGAGGGAGACAAAGGGGGCCGGTCGTGGTGCTGGCCACCTACCCCCTCCTGTGCCGTGCTGGCCTTCATAGGTGCTCCGCTTACAGCACTTGCCCCAACGGTCTGTTAAGGCTATTTCGGGCGTCTTTATTCTTTGTCCCTTGTGTGGTGCACGGTCACAGGTGGTGCGCCTGCTGCAGGAGCTGGGGGAGGCAAGGGAGACGCACACCCCGGAGATGAAACAGTTCCGCGCGCTGGAGGCCAAGGTGGTGATGATGGAGCAGCGGCACTTGCGCAGGGAGCAGGAGCTCACACAGGTGGGCTACTCTACTTGCCCCCTCACGACTGGCAGTTACACACTCCAACTACTTTACGCATATGAATGTATTCGCGGTACACCGGTGCGTGGTATATACATTTTTAATTTTTTTCGCAACAATTATTGATGTTCCCGCGATTCGCAACCCTGGTCAGAAATCTTGCGGGGTGCGTCAACATCAGCGCTCGTGATGTCGAAGCGGTCGGAAAAGACGAATGTTATGAGCAGCTGAACACGAAGCTTCACGGTCTGTTGCCATATAGAACCCAGCCTGATGACATTTGACTCCTTGTTCCAAAGGCAGATTTGACTCGTGCCCTGGACTTGGCCAGACGGTTCCTCGATTCATTTCCGGAATCCTATCTTGGCGGACGGTGGCATCAAAAGATTATGACTTCATGGCACACGTTCGAATGGGAAAGCAGCTGCTGAATCTAAGGCAACTTCTGATGGAGGGTCTGCAGCTCACTCAAGGGCAACACCGACTGCACCGGTGTACCCCCAATACGTCCATATGTTGAACTTCTTTCGTACAGTTCGTAGCCAACCGTGCTTATCGGAGGTGCGGAAAATACAGTCAGTTCCTGGACATGCCCCTTTGATCCCTATTCATAGTCCAGTGCCTGGGCCCCTCCTGCTCGTGGGTGCCTGTGCAGTTGCACTGCCTGCACACTTGATTTATACGTCACTGGTAGGGCCTCACTGACAAATGTTGTGGCCTGTAATCTTGGGCATTTTCCAAACTGCAGTCATAACATGGCAACATTGGCCATCACTGAAATGTTAAAGCTGTGAGCCATATATATGTTACGATCCACACGCACAAATAAACATGAAAGAATAATAACTACATACTTGGAGTTCATGTACAGAATGTATGTGTATGTGCTGTGTGCACGTTGTTATAACCATTACCATTTGTGTTACGTGTTAGTGTTAGAGAAAGCAGATATCCCAGAACTAGATCACGTCAAGTAACTTGGTCCACAACGTAGAGGGCAGCACTATCCTACCCTCTCTGCCATGCCAGAGGAATGTTCATCACAAAGTCAAACGAATATTTAAATTGCCAGAGCTGGAAGTTAGCCAAATTAAGTTCATAACCAAATTTAATATGATGGGGTTTTTTGTGCTTTGGTTGGTGACCGGACTAAGGTCCGATTCATTACACACAAAGTTCTTGCCACAAATGAACCTCAAAACCTTTCTGATTTCAAGGAGCATAAACTATCACGTGACCTTCGGTCATCCTCTCAGCAGCAGGATTTTGGCTCGCCATCGAATAAAGGCGGTCACTGCATTGCGAGCTTTCAGATGCACTTCTGCGGCCGTCTGGAATGCTTTTCCGATGTTAGGAAGCCTTTTAAATCTAGATTTAAAAACTCGTCTCTTTAGAACTGCTTTTTGTGTTTAGTTTGTTGTCCTTCCCCCGCACCTCCAATTAGCACGGTTGGCTACATACGGTGCGATATATTACAATTTAATCGCAGGTGGATTCGAACCCAGGATCTGAGCAGTGCCAGCTCACCTGTCTTGACCTCTGAGCCACCCGGCCACCAACCCCTCTCCGCTGACCCTGCCAATGGGCCCATCCCCCCTAACCAGCTGGTGCAGCGCACGCGACAGAGCGGCGAACAGGAGCGCAGCCAGGAGGCGGCCGAGTGGCGTCGCCAGGTGCTTCACAAGAACGCGGAGCTGGAGCGCTTCCGCTCGGAGCTGGACTCCATCCTGGAGGTGCTGCGGGAGCTGCAGAGGCAGGGGGTCGTCATCCCAGCCATGGGCGCAGCGCGCACGGGTGCCATCTGACTCGCAAATCTTCACAAAGGCGGCGCCACAATAAGGGGACGGGGGTCGCTGTCGCACACACCTGTGTCACCGTCCACCTGTTAGATCGTATCCTACCCCCCCGCTAAGTATCCACGTGTGCCCTGATGGAGTTGGTGGACATGGAGATGAGCCAGTTATCTTCATTTTAACGTTATAATAATTTATACTGTAAAAACAAGTGGTAAATGAGTGGATTGAGAGATGCTGTAGTCAGAATGGTGGGCCTCCATCTATACACAGAGGATCCGGGTTCAGTCCATCAATAGGGTAACAATGTCGGTTTTTATATAATTACTCATTGCACGTCAATATATAGTACAAATAAAAAATTGTTGCAAACCTAAAAAAAATATTGTAACCCTAGTTGACCAATTGAACCCCATTCCGTCATGCCTTCCCAGTGCCTTAGCCCTTTGACTGAAGCATCTCCTCACCAAGTGACACCGTTTTTTTTATTTCTTGGATTTATACAGAAATTATCCCCCCACCTGTATTATCGCGGCACAACCCATTTTCCCACATCTCCGCCAGCTTCACTCACCAGCCCCACCACTTGAGTGGAGGAGGTGCCGCCATTGTCGTATCAACTCCGGCGGTTGTCATCGCGTCCGCCGTGGGACTAATGTAACTACGTGCAGTGGCTCGTAAGCTAGCTACCTTGAAAGACACGCAAGGCATTTAAATTATTTCACAGGTAGGAACAACAGGTTCCACACTCCCCACCAGGGATTATTTGTCTGTCTGTCGTGCATATTTGTATGTCGTGCACGAATGCGCTGTCCAACCAAGTTCCTACCTGCCCCCTCCGAAGGAACGTGTTAAAGGAATACGGAACACAAAAACAAACAGCTCTTATGTTGTAAATATCTACGAAGCCACTCTTTCTCGGGGTATCCGAAGTGCGTTTGAAGCCACATTTTCTGCAGGGGATGTTACTTATAGCTGCACAGCTTTAAACTGAAATGTTTATATGAGATAATCTTTGCAAGAGTTATCGTGACCCACTGTTACTTTAAAATCACTTTTCAGGCGCCCTCCAGTGACACACTGCTGCATGATCGAGTGGTGGTGACTGCTGATGGCTGTGCGTGCACTTGAAAGTAATTTTCAAATGTTCTTTTCTCATTCATGCAACTTTTAATTAATGTTTTACAGACCAGGGCACCACAGTCTGTGCATCCATAAAGCTGTTTTTTTGCATTGTGTGTTAATTTTTTATGTCCATACCAAGGCAAGCAGGTGGTGTGTAATTGAAGTTGTTAGCTACAATGTGAATAATGATGCATTTCTCACTTCATGTCCTGTACATTACACCGTCTATTGAGGGTGCGCTAACAGGGGTTCGCAATGGTTGTTTTTATAAAGTGGTTTACAGTCATTATTTTACCTCTGTAATCTATATTTTGTATTGCTATATTTTATTTTTTAATAAAATTATTTTTTGAAGTGAATGGTTTTCTGGTACGTGTTGTATTCATGCTTTATGGAAGTGTGTTTGTGAGTGGGTGTTGTAAACAAATATTTCGGGGCAGCGAAATATATATTTTTTTACCAACTTTTAATGTGTAATAAAAAAAATCGATGTTAACAATTTATAACTGGATGTGCCCACGAGATTACTTAGGGAATTCATAAAAATATGTGCACACTATATTGTTTACAGAGCAATGCAAGATAATTGCATGCACAGGTTTGGATCGTGTGTGGGTGTGCTCTATGTGTAGGTGTAAAGTGTAGTGCAAAAAAACAACGCGGGTTTTACCTTAAATTAATTACACATGTTCCAATTTTAGTTTTTCATCAATTTATTTCATTTGTATGTTTATAATAATAAAAAATGGAATGTAGTTCTCAATATGGACAGATTTCCAACATCCACGTCGTAACTTAACATCGCTACTGACGTTAAGTCTGCCTTATACTGGTAGGAACCATCTGGTTACACCAGCCCACAGGGGATTATTGTGTCCGTCCGTCAGTGCAGGGAGGGGCTGGGTGGGGAGGGTGGGGCTGGGTGGGGAGGGGAGGGAGGGGCTGGGTGGGGAGGGGCTGGTCACCCCGTGGTGCCCTTATAAAACTCAACGTTTAACCTACTCACGCCAGCTTGTGCCCGCCCTCACAGTCGGGCATATTTGCGGAATACACCACGCCGCCGTTGACCCTGGCCATTGACCGAGCAACCCAACGTTCCTACCAGCTCCCTCCGCAGGAATGTGTTAAACAGAAAATATGGAGTATGTATGTTGGACTTCTTTCGCACCGTACATAGCCAGCCATGCTAATTGAAGGTGTGGGGTAACATGTTTGGTAAAAGCCATCTTTCAGAGCACGCAGAAACAGGCAACTACTGAATGTTTATGGTCTTAGGTGTTGTTCTGTTACAGGCAGTAATACACGACAGTGGTTTGGTTATTTTTATTTGATCTATGCTTGTCTACCGCAACTGTTGCAATCTGTATAATCAGTTTTTTTTTATATCACCGATTATATCCCAGTTCTGTTATAGAAGTTGTCAGCATAAGTACAAATATCCTCACCGATCTCTTAAAGTCTCGCACACCATCGCACACCATGTCAGGGATTGCTTCTGGAAGATCACACAGGTTTGATTGTGTCACCTGGCAGGGCAATGCAATTGCATCCTTGAGCAAACTCTGCAAGGTTCAGGGAAGAAAGGTCGCAGCGACAGTGTCATGAAGACAGATATTGAGCGAGACACTTGAGACGTGGAAAGAGACAGTTTCGGGCACGGAGAAATAGACGCCAAGAGATATGGAGCCAGATAGGCACAGCATTGGAGGCCTTTTAAGGAGTGGGGCCCACCTCCCCCTTCTGTCCAATTGTCAACTATTGAGTACAACGTTCAGAGTTATTTATAGTCCCAGACTGCGTACAGTACTTCATAATCAGCCCTGCTTCAACAAGTCCCACTGATCGGCAGGGCACAGACACGTCTCCCTTCACCTGCGGGACAGTGGATCGGCCTTCGCATCACGTCTCCTGTGACTACCTGGCACCTCGAGACATATTGCATGGGAGGCGCGGGATAAATCATAGTAATAAATGCTGATGATGAATATCCAAGCGGAGCTTCGGCTCTGCTCAGGGCAGTGGGTGATCAAACCAGCGTAACTGAATTCGGAGCTCTCTTTGAATCCCGGTCAATTGGCCAACAGATCCCCTGACACCATGCGCCTTCTGGCCGTTGGTCCGGCGCTCACGTGGAGGATCTGTCTGCCACCCAAGCATCGTCTCGTTATCTGAAGCCCTCTCCGCCGTGCGGGGCGTTGTGCTCCGTGAGCCGTTGTCCCAGGTGTCCCCCGTGCCCCCATTGGGAGCACCGAGCCTTGGGTCTGCCGGGTGACGGTGGCCGAGGAGGAGGTTCGTCGGGCACGAGTGCTCCCACGCGGTCTCCGCTCAGCACCTGCAGGGCCGGGCAGACGGCACGGATGTGCGCCAGGCCTGCCGGGGTGACGTTGCGGCACCAGTCGGCGCGCACGTGGGTCAGCCCCGGGGCGAGCCGCCCGGCCTCTTCGAGAGCGGCGTCCGTGAGCGAGCGGCAGTTGTGCAGGGACAGCGAGCGCAGTCGGGGGCAGCGGCGCAGCAGCGAGCCGAGCTGCTCGTCCGTCACGTGGGCGCACCCCGCCAGGGACAGCCGCTCCAGGTTTGGGCACCTGATGGACGCAGGCCCCACAATACCAGATCCATTGGCTGAACCCTTTAAGGAAGATGCAACCCAACAAAATAATTACTCTAGCTCTTGTATTTTTTTGAAATACGTTTTTATATTTCCCCCCAAAATGTATCCCAATTGTGCTGTTAGAGTTAAGTCACTCCGCCAGGGACAGCCGCTCCAGGTTTGGGCACCTGATGGACGCAGGCCCCACAATACCAGATCCATTGGCTGAACCCTTTAAGGAAGATGCAACCCAACAAAATAATTACTCTAGCTCTTGTATTTTTTTGAAATACGTTTATATATTTCCCTCCAAATGTATCCCAATTGTGCTGTTAGAGTCATGTCATGAGTTGGAGTATCCATTTGCATCTCTCCCAGAGAAGTGGAAACCTTTATGTTAGGAAATGGTTCACCGCCGTGGGGAAATAGCATACGGATTAGTGGCAATGACAGTTTGGCTTTTCGGTTTTGATTGATAGATTTCATCCCTATTTTTCTCTACGCAATTATATTACATGATAATAGTTTTCCCCCTTTTTTCTGGCAACTAAACAGGTGTTAAGATGTTAAAACACCAAACTGAAACCTTTTACAGGGCATCATGTCTGCATTCACCGCAATGCTTGTGGTCAGAATGCAAACATTACAATTGTGCTCGTGGCATTATAATTACATTCTACTGGGAACTCTCCCAACGAGCAGTGGTTAGAGACCAACCTCTGGAAGGTTAATTTGCAGAACTAATGCTGGGGGGGATCAATAAATTGCCTGACTGCATTCGCATTTGTGCTACGGTGTGGTGATGTGCGCGGGTGTGCTTGCCTCAGGCTGACTTGCAGCAAGAAGTCTCCCACCACCCCCTCATGCTGGCAGCACATGGCTCTCTGCAGCTCTGTCTGTCTCCATGGCTCAACGTTGCACACCTTCACGCGGCTCGAATACCTGCGGGAAAGTGGCCACCATCATCAGCACAGCAGCCGCCCCCTACACCTGTTCATGTGTGTCGGCCTGCCTAGAAGCAGGGCACATAGTGGGAGCATCGAACAGTATAGGTCGACCACACTCACACATAGCCAGCTAGAGAACTGCAGTTTTGGCCTGTGGTGTCCAATTAATCCAGGTGTCTCTTAACCACATCTTAAAAACAAATATAACCCGTAAAAACAAAGTTTTTCACTATAAATCCTTTATATGCGTGGCGGCGAGAGTCCTCTCGTCCTCTGGCTTGAGATAGCTGCCACCTATGGGTCAGATGATTACATTGCACCATTAAGCAATTGGTAATTAAATATAATATTTCTGTCCTAAAAAGTGTAAATATTTGGAAAAAAATTTTCACGAACATTAATTGTCACGCACAACGAGTCTGTGTGCAAAATGTCAGCTCGATTGGATCACGGGAAGTGGGTTAAAAAATGACCGAAAGATTTGCACGGTCGTAAGCGCGCAAGCGAACTTAATATAAAGGATTTAATAATGGGAAGTCCGGACACCCCAGAGCGCCCAGCGGCCCCATAGGTCCCAACACAGTTGCGCCTCATGCACACTCGGCAGCTACGCCACTCCACGTCCAGCCTCGGTAACGAACCAGCACACGTCCAGCCGGCGAAGTGCAGCCCCCAGCCGGTAGTCCCCACGGTTGAGCTCCACCAGGGAGCCAAAGCGCAGGTCTGTCCACAGGGCGGGGTCCTCGTACACGGAGCGCAGGCGCGTGCACGCGCGGGACAGGCTGGCGCGGTCCGCCCGGCCCAGGAACGAGAAGAGGTGCAGCAGGCACTCCTGGTTCAAGTGCAACAGGGTTGGGCGCTGCTCCATGCCGCGTGCCTGTAGTGAAGCCAGCATAGGTGGGCCAATGAGATAAACATGAAGATAGCCAGTGTGGGTGGAAGCTCGGTGGTTCAGGGGGCTAATCGAACAAAGACGGTCACCGCATCGCGTGCTTTCAAATTCGCTTCTGCGGCCGTCTGGAATGCTCTATTAGGAAGTCACTGGAGCTATGCACTTTTAAGTCTTTGAGATTGAAAACGAATTTCTTAGGAACTGATTTTTTTTATTGTCCTTCCCCCGCACCTCCGATTAGCGCGGTTGGCTACGTACTTGCAAAAGAAGTTCAAAATACATACACATGATTATTTATTACTTGATAGCGAGCCTTACACATGTGTATAATGAGAACAGAAGCTATGACAATTAATAAGCACAATTGAACAGAGTACTCGCAATAGGTAACACACGTTAAGTTAGAATCACAAAAACTGTTTCCAAGACAATAACATTATTAACGTTGTACTCACTGGAGTGCATTATAACTTAAATCTGTAAAATGTGAGAAACCTCGTCGCAACACAAACATTGCCAATGACAGATTTTTAATTACTGTTGCATGAGGCAAGCTTATTGGTGCCCATAGTGTACAAGTCGGGTCTGAGACATTATTATTATCATCAACTATGATCCGGAGTGATTTTTATTTTGGTTCGGTACGTCGCAAAAATCGAGCAATCTCGAGAGTGTGAGTGTCGTGGAATGAAAGGGGTCGAGAAGCACTGCGCCAAGCCATGCCACCACCCTGTGACATGCCCTTGTACACGTGTAGTGTAATAGCGCCGGCTGGTGGACAGCAGCGGCAACTGTGGTGGACAGACAGCAGCGCACACGCCGGTGAGGGCGCGAGCACGTGTGTGGGCAGAGGGGAGGAACTGGGGCAAGGGTCACGGAGGACCCCGTCTGGAGGTCCCTGGAACCTGCTGGCGGGTTCGAGAAGGGAGGCGTGGTCAGGGCGGAGCTAGGCTACGCTGGGAGCATAAAAGGAGCCGAGAGCGGGGGGCTCGGGGCTGCCGGTGCTGGGAGTGGACTCGTCTCGTTGATGCTGTCGTCTCGTCGCCGTCGTCGCTAAACGTCTCCGCTAGACACTGCGCTACGAAGGATGGTAGTTGGCTATCTCAGTCAGCGCCGTCAGTGTTAGACGGCTAGAGTTGTGTAGAGGCTAAGCTGAGCTACTGTGGAGAGTGTGTGGACGAGACCGTGAAAGTTGTTTAATAAAGTGCCTCCTAGAAACGCAATATGCTGTGTTCCCGGTGATCTGACTTTCATTTCTGGCCACAGCTAACAGGAGTGGCAAGTAATATCTGGACCAGTCTTGGAGCCTCCATTCATTAAACTTTGCACTTACTAGCTTGGCCAAGTACAGTTAAACAACCCCAATTACCAACAGGGCCTTCATCCAATAGTGGATTTACAGGAACTGGACATTGCACTGATAATAAGTTATCGCAACTGTGATGAATGAAAATGTTATGATTTACATCTGACAAACACTGTTTGTAGGATGCAGAAACATTTTGAAAAGTGTTCCTCGAGTATAGATTTATGTGTGTGTGTTGAACTTATTTCGCACCGTGCGTACCCAAGCGTCCTAATCAGAGGTAGAGAACTATTTAGGCAAATCAAAATAAGTTTATTTTCCAAGGTCATTCTCACAGGATGGTGAACTGGTAGCTATAAGGATGTAACGCGTCGATGTGTTTGTTTCACGATGTGATGATGATGACGATGATCGCCCGCCCTTGCTTGTTGCAATGGACTGAAAATTCCGGGGCCTTTGCATTGGTTTACAATAGCTTTGCCCGTGACAATGTTTATATTACAGCGAGCCGCTGGAATTACAAGGGGCTAGGCAAGCGTCGCTCCATGCCCAGTTGTATCAACAAGGCGACTCGGTCGCTGTCCATGTTCAATTTCAGTTGACGACATTTTCCGTATTTTTTTTCGTTAAGAAAAAAAATACAATTACTTTTTAAATCCTTTATATTAAGTTCGCTTGCTTGCTTAGGACCGTGCAAATCTTTCGGTCGTTTTTTAACCCACTTCCCGTGATCCAATCGAGCTGACATTTTCCACACAGACTCGTCGTGCGTGACAATTTACACTTTTTAGGACAAACATGTATTTAATTACCAATTGCTTAATGGTGCAATGCAATCATCTGGCCCATAGGTGGCAGCCATCTCAAGCCAGAGGACGAGAGGACTCTAGCCGCCACGCATATAAAGGATTTATAGTGAAAAACTTTGTTTTTACGGGTTATACTTATTTTCCCCCCTGTTCAAGCGAGAGACGCGGGAGGAGGGCTTCGAACAACGTCTCGGGGATAAAAAAAATAAATAAACCAGGAGCCATCGTCGCTCCGACAAACCCACAAAATCCCAACATTTACCGACGCTGCATAAACATCGTCCGTCGGCTCTATAGATGGAGTCATCCTCTCCGTGACCCTGCCCGCTGTGATTCAGCGACTCGGGCTGTTCGCTAAAATGCCTCGGCCCTCCCACATCATTTCCTCTCGCGGGGCATGTTTCGTGACTTCTTGTGGTTGGCCGAGTGGACACTGAGATATCCACGTTTAGAGACATTAGTCAGTACTAGTTATAAAAAAAATGCAAACGAATAATTATTTCATCATGGGCGCTCCCTTGCCAGTATCAAAATATAAGAATGTGTTTTACCCTTTCTATATTTGCAGTAGGAGAAGCATCATATCATTATTGTAAGTATGAGTTACTCGCAAATGTTTCTGGTATTAACTAACATTACTTAACATCCGTGTAATGTGTTGACTTTGGTTTACCTGTGACCAACTCACCCACAATGCCCAATCTAGGCTGATCTCAGAAGATAAGCAGCCTTGAGCCTGTGTAGTTGCCACCAAGCATCGCAGGTATTCTAGGCTGCGGGGCTGCTTTGTGGACAGGAGTTGGTAGTGCAGCCAGTTATTTTGTTGTACTGTTCTACTATGTTCCCGCATCAATGCTCCCCACCTTCGCTAACCCGCACTGGCCAACGTGATGGATTATGGTCCAACAACCCTCACGAGCCACACGGTGTAGGGAGGGACCTCATCCAGCAGTGGATTGACAAACAGGGCTGGACATTTAAAGCAAGAATAGTTATTGTTTTTATATTTGATTCCTGAGATGTGTTTTTTTTCGTTGCTATAAGAGGTCTCCATAACTTTACTCCACTAATATTAAGATTCTATCTTTGTACTGTGTTTTTGTTTCCATCTCCCCAAGGGTTATCGTGAATAGCCAATAATAATAACGATGTTTGATGGTGAAGATTACATTTTGGCATAACGCAGTCGTTCAATACAGCTTCATTTTGAGGAGGGTACTGCATGGGGATGTTTGACCATTTTTAGTCTCACAGTATTCTGCGTGGGAGAGGTAAACCAGAGTACGTGGAGAAAGACCCGCTCATAAGAGGTCGATAACACGAAATGCGTGTACAACCGATTTGATCTACTGCCACCCTCTGACCACCCCGCAGCCAAGCAGCTTCACAAATATGAAAAAATAAAAAAAAGGGTTTTACCCTTTCTGGCAATAAAACAGGAGGTGTTAAGATGTTCAAACAGCAAATACAAAAATTTTGCAAGGAATCAAATTCGCATTAACCGCAAGTACTTGTGGTGAGCATGCAAACAAACACGCTCTGGTGTAGGCCAATTAGTTTCAAAGACAATGCATCAAATATTATCAGAGCGTGTTTTTTTGCATGTTCACCACATGTCCGTGTGGATAATGCGAACTTGATTCCTTGCAAGAAGGTTTCTAATTGGTGTTTAAACATCTTCACGCCCATACTCTTTGGTTCTTTCGGTAAAGTCACGTAGGTATTTTATTTTATGCCTACGTGACTTTACCGAAAGAACCAAAGAGTTTGGATTTCTGCAGTCACGAAAGCTTCAAATCAACATCTTAACACCTCCTGTTTTATTGCCAGAAAGGCTAAAGCCTATTTTAATTTTTTTCATACGTTTATACTGGCAAAAAAGGTCCCATTTTGTAGCTTCACAATTGTCCGTATGATTAAACCAATCATCGCCTCTAAAGCTCTGGATTATAGGCGTGACCCGTAAGTCACCGCCACTCTCGTTAAGTCACGATGACCAAACCCTAATGGGTTCAATTACCGTATTTACGTAGCCATATTAGCTTATCTAACAGCTCTCGTTTATTGCGTATAAACGTAACAACACACTCGCATGTACACTCTACTGCTCCACTCCTTAACCAGAGCGCGTGCCACATGGACACTGACGGAGAAATGAAAAGACAAGCCACAATAGCGCAATTGTGGCCCTGCAACTTGTGGACAAAATAGTAAAACCACTGCGGTCCACGTTCTTTCAACAGAGGAATGGAACAAAACTCCACGAACTCTCTTCTGAAGCCCTCTCGTCGCGGCTATCATGCCTCAACATTGCCACCTAGCCCCTCAACGTATTGCCATACGCAAGAATAGCATGGAACAGACAGCTTTTTAAAGCACGTATGCATACACAGACTAAAGATCCCCCGGATAGCCTTAAGAGACCGCTGGGGTAAGTGCTGTTAGCGAGAAGCACCTATGAAGGCCGGAACGGCACACGGGGGGTGGGTGGCCAGCACCACGCCCGGCTGCCTTTGTCTCCCTAGTGGTCGATGTTTACTGCACGTAACACACACGCACACAAACAAAATGCGTGATGATGTGCTGACAGTGGTGCACAAGCGAAAACAACAAACAAACTCAACACATTCATCAATAACACTGCCTTAATAGAAAACAAATACTGTATTTAGTTAACAATTATATAGGCCACGAACCGGGCCCTATTTATATGAGAAAGGACCATTGCCCGAAACGTCGCCTCCTCTATATACATGGTTTTTTTTGCTGTTAGGGCAGCGTTACTGACGTATGCGTGTGTCGAGTTTTCTATATTGTACTTCGCGAATATTACAGCAGCCATTACCTTCGGGTCCGGACTCTTGAAAGCAGCTCCAATGCTTGAGTGTATTGGTGCATTGGGAGTGTTTTTCTTCTTCTTCTAACGATTAACAAAAAAGGCTTTGGCTAAACAGCTGCCCCCGCCACACAGCACGCTGGCTGCACGACGGTCAGCCTGTATATGGTCACGGTGTGCAGAGGTATTTTTGGAGTGAGTCTGCCTCTGCTCACGCAGTTCCACGCCGGTCTCTCTCTCTCTCCTGGATCGTGGTGATTGATATCTTTACCCATGCAGTGTTGTGAGTGTATGTGTGGTTCGGAGTTGCAGAGGTGTGCGCGTGTGCGTGTGTGCGCTACGAACCGGCGGCCCGAGTTCGACTCCTGCTCATGGTCACCAACACCAGTGACGATTATGTGAACCAGTCCTGGGCATCCCGTCGGTCCCTCGTGGCGTAAACATCGCCACGAGGGAGACCAAGGTGGCCGGGCGTGGTGCTGGCCACCCACCCCCTCGTGTAGCGTGCCGGCCTTAATAGGTGCTCGCTAACAGCACTTGCACCATAAGGCTGTTAAGGCTATATGGGGGATAGTTGTCTTTGTGGCTCTGTGGTCACCACGAGGCTACACACTATTACGTGTGTCACCTAACTTTAAATAACCATCGTTATTCATAGGTGCTCGCTAACAGCACTTGTACCATAAGGCTGTTAAGGCTATATGGGGGATAGTTGTCTTTGTGGCTCTGTGGACACCACGAGGCTACACACTATTACGTGTGTCACCTAACTTTAAATAACCATCGTTATTCATGTCATAATCTGCATAATCGTAATGGTGTATTGTCATCATCGTCATCATCATCATTATCTTCATTGCGTTAATAATTATTATAAAGTCATCATTATCTGTGTATATTTTATCATCACCATCATGCGTGCCGTTGTCATCATTATCAGCATCATTCTCACCATCATGATTGTCATCATCATCATCATCATCAATCGCCGTCATCATTTATTTATCATCATCGTGATTGCTTCCCCATGTTCGTCGTGCGTGTCATCATCATCATCATATCCATGATATTAACATCAAAGATCATCGTCATCATTATCCACATCCACTTTATCATATAATCATCATCATAATTACCATCATCATCATCATAATAATCATCATCAGCCAAGTGTCGTCATGTATGCTGACCCACTTCATTACGACTGTTTGGTTCTGCATGAAAGATCTTCCCAACCACTTTTATGTCAACATTAACATGTTCATTTTAACATCAGATGATGGTGATGATACGTATCCAGAAACAAACCAAGACGAATTAGCAGTCACCGCGCGGTGTTTACATCACCGCAGACTCGCCTGACCCACGACCACCACTGTTGTTGCGCCGTATTTTACAAAGCATTCCATTCTTCACTGTCTTGCCCCTATCTCTCCACTCTCATCTCACCCTACTCTTCGTCGCGTTGATTTTCTTCTCCAGCGACGAAGGTCTCCTCCTTCTGTACAAAGTCGCCCACAGTCGTCAAACCTTCGTTCCAAGCGAGGAGGTCGCTCCTTCTCGGCGTCTGCTCCCGCAGTCTGGAATTCTCTTTTCTATTCAACTTTATTTGCTGCCCTTGTTCGAGTCAAGACTTAAAGCCCACATTTGTTTTCATGAGCATAAGATTCTAGATTTGAAGCTTTCGTGACTGCAAGGATTCATATTCTTAGGTTTTTTCGGTAAAGTCACGTAAATAAAAAATTAAATTAATAAAAGTAAAATAAAACAAAATAAAAAATCACGACGTTTCGGAAGCAACACAAACCTCCGTCTTCAGCTGTCGTGGCTGTGACGGTTCCACCTGAAGACGGAGGCTTGTGTTGCTTCCGAAACGTCGTGATTTTTTATTTTGTTTTATTTTACTTTCATTAATTTAAATTTTTTACCTACGTGACTTTACCGAAAAAAACCTAAGAATATGAGCATAAGATTTTTTTTCTAAAAAAAGAGAAACGTCTGCTTGAACAATGTTGTGTTAGGTAGGGAGCTATGATAATTATTGTTGTTATTTTCCCGAACAATTTAATTATGGATAATCGTCGGTTATTTTGGATTTAGGCTACCAGAGCACAGTGACTGGGATCGCACGGGCCTGCCCCAACAGTACTTGGTGGGTCTTTAGACCCTGCAATTTGCAACAAGAAATAACCTCGAACAGAAATTGCCAAGCGGCGGAGGCAATTACTAAACCTTGTAATCAATGCAGAATAGTTCAGTGGCAAGGGGTGATGGACTACGTGGCCATCTCCCGGGTGGTCAACATCATCTGTCAAATAATGGGACCATTAATTGACAATGATGAAGATGAAACTCCTACAGCAGCTACTGCTGCTGCTGCTGATGATGATGCAAACGTATGATTGCGTCGCGACTTGAGAAACTATGCATGCAGACGTGCAGCCCTTGGTTGATCGGCGGCTGGATGAACGCGGGTTGGTGGTTTAGGCGAGGCAGTTGTGCAGGTTGGTGAAGGTGGTGGGGGGGCATAGCAGTAAAGTATCACAATTTATCTTCTTGGTTCTTTCGGTAAAGTCACGTAGAAGGGAAGTAATAAAATAATACAAATAAAACATAATAAAATCAAATAATTCTCACTGAGAATTATTTTATTTTATTATTGATTTTATTATGTTTTATTTTTATTATTTTATTACTTCCCTTCTACGTGACTTTATCGAAAGAACCAAGAAGATGAATCCCTGCAGTCACGAAAGCTTTAAATCGAAATATCACAATTTAATTGCATTGCCATCTGCTGCCCACCACCTAGTCCCGCAAAGCGTTATTTAAAAATATCAGTCAACCTCTGCTCAATGGGAGATCGCCTCTCAATCTGCTGCCCCAACGGCACCACGCTGCGTGCTCGTCCACGACGCTCTTCATCGGGGCACGCCCGGAGCGTGGCGCGCGCGCACGTGTCGCGCCAGGTCTCTGCGTCGCTTCGTCGTCACTCCGCACACGTGGCATCGGTGCGACGGGTCAGCGGCGCCACGTGGCCGAGGTGAAGGAGGAGGCCGCGGCCGCGACGGCGCCACGTGGCCGCGGCCGCCGTGCAGACGCACGTGCTTGTTCAGGTTGCTCGGGTCCCCGAAGCTCCTGTGGCACACGGCGCAGCGCAGCGGCTTGTGCCCGGTGTGCGTGCGCACGTGGATGCGCAACCCGTAGCGCCGCGTGTACAGCTTTCCACAGATGGGACACGGGTGCCCGGCTCGCCTCTGAACGCCAGCCGCGGCGACAGTCCCGGGTTTGGTGGTGGCGGCGGTGGTGGTGGTGGTGTTAATATTGATGGTGTTGTGAATGTTTCTGTCGATGATGTTCTTGCATGCGGCGGCTGGAGCACTTCTGTCATTGGCCACTCCCGGTGGAGGCGGAGTGAGATGCGCGCTGTGCGCTCGCTGCCACTCGGATGAGACCACGTGATGATGGAGATGACCGTATGGATGAGTTTCTGAACCCAACCACGACGCGGGCGTCACGTTGGCAGTGCAGAGGTGTGGTGCGTTGAGAAGACGCGGTGGGACCCACGTCCATGCCGCCGCGTTAGGATCTGCCGAGGGCACGCACGTGGCTCCAAGGCTCGCATCGGCGGTGTGGATGGCGAGGGGGTACCAATGCGCGCAAGTCCCGGGAGGAGAAGGGGGACGGTGCTCTGGGAGTCCCTGGCCGTGTGCTGGGGCACTTGGCCCCGCTCGCCACGGCACGCTGCCCGCGCCAGGCGGGAACGACAAGGTGGGAAGCCACAGCGCCCTGAACGGTGCTCCGTGGAAGAAATGCGTAGCCTCTCCTCGACCCGCTGTGACACCTGCGCGTGCGTGGGCAAGGCGTAGAATTTTCTCAACGACGTGAAAATGCGATGATACGGTCAGCGGTGAGTCTTTAGTGGAGGAGCAGTGGTGCTGCGGTTAACACACTAAGCCAGTGGTTCTTAACCTTGACTGCCCCCAGAAAGAGCATCTCGCACCCCCAGCGGGTGCATGCACCCCGGGTTAAGAACCACTGCACTAAGTCATGAACCCGGCATGGTTAACATCAATGGCGTGTTGGATCTGAACCGACGGATCCAGGGGTTCCTCTCCCGTTAACCAAGCCGCTCTGACTAGCGTGGAGAAGTGTGCTCAGACAACCCTCCGTGGCCGGCACGGTGTGGGGGAGGCATTCATCCAGCAGTGGACTGATCATGGCTGCTGATGATGAACGCTCCAAATACCAAACCACCCAGAATTGCGCCTGATGTCATTGGAGATCTCGGAAGCTAAGCAGGCTTTGAGCCGGGGTAGTGGTTGGATGGGCAGCCACAGTGGATAACTGATGTTATCGGCTGCTGCGTGGCAGCGTGGTGAGCGTTTACAAGTGTGTGTGTGTCTGTCTGGTCACATATGGTGCCTGCAATGGTACAACAAACAGCACGTGTACGCACCGTGCGTGAAGGCCGATGAGAAGATTGGCATCGGCAGCAGATCCAGGGCCAGCAAAGAGTGCATGGTGCACCACGCAGAACCTGCGGAATCATCGTCATCAGTGTCATCATCATCACCACCAAGATCATCAGCAGCACCACCAGTGTCATATACTTTTGAGAATGTTTCGTGTAACCACACCAATGTGCGTAATTATCCAGAGAAACCTCAATTATGTGGGCATTTCACATTCAGAGCTCTGCACAGACAGATCAGCAATCTACTTGCAAGCAACGCTTCGTTGGCCTGCAAGGCGGGTGTCTCGAGTGACTCCCATCCATGCGTGATCCACCGACCCTCTCTCCAAGTCGCTAACCTAGCAGGCGCCAATTACACAGCCGAAACACCCGGCCTGGGCATAAAACAACGCTGAGAAGAGGCGAGGTGGCCAGTGGCTAATTAGGTCAGAGTGCTGAGCTGGTACCACTGAAAATCCTGTTATTCGAATTCAGGCAGCCACCCGCGATTAAACTGGCATCTAACACGTGATGAGTTGGTGGTCTCAGCCTGATCAGCAATGACTGCACAACAACAACAAAAACCCGTCATATGTTAGTGTTGGTTCTGTAACTAATTTGGCTAAATTTCAGTTCTGTGAAATAAAACCATCTGACGATCGTACAAAGAGCATTTATATCGGTGGTAAAGTGGATGGAAACGTGCTGCCCGCTACTGTGTTGACCATCGGTCTCTTTAAGGGTTGTCAGATGTAGTTCTGTTAAATCCGCTTCTGCAGGCCATTGTCTAAGACCAGGTATTGCACTGCTCTGCGAGATACGCATGACTTGCTCAGTCTAATTTACATGACGCCGGTAAAGCACAAGCAAGATCACATTTGTGGAAACAAATATATGTGTAAAAAAAAACTTTTGGTACATCCTGCATAGTGTTTACCGACGTGAGCAAGAGAAGCCAAGGACATACCTGTTCGTGAGACGACTCTGCTACTCTCTTCTCTCTGACAGTCGCACTGAGCATTTTAAATACCTGCACACGGGCACGTGTGTGTTTGCGTATCCCCCCATCCCCGTTATCCTCACTTAGCGCTTCCCTGCTCTTCTTGTTATTGTTGTTTTATCACCAGCAAACATCCACGTCATAAATTGCCGAAAGGTCCCCTTCCTCGGTTGGTCGCTGTGAGGGTGTCGAGCTGAATTAACCGACCCGTCCATCTGGTCATTAACCGAGGGGGCGCGGGGCGGTCAGGCAAACAATCGAGGCGACCTGCACTACCGGCCATCCAAAGCGCCCTGCATAAAGAAAGAAAAAAACACAAAGGCCCCTCGACCTTGATAGAGAACCCAGTGCTCATGATGTCGGGGTCACTACTAGGGTTGCGCGCCTGCCTGTGTGTTTGTGATGGGCTGGGTGTGTGCACACGCTGTGGGATAATGATGACACGGCCGGAACAGAGGGCATCTTATCTGCACGGTCAGTAAACAACCTGACCATCGCCGTTGGCCTTCATGACTGCAAGTGGATCGTGGGCTCCTCTTACTCTGTTGACGTTCGGTTTGTCAGAGGGACCATTAAGGCTGCTGGTTCGTGTGGCGAGGGGGGGCTGGGTGGAGGTGGTGATGGTGTCACATTTATTAACTTGTGACTTCACACAAAATCCGGCTGCTCCGTGCTGGTCTAAGTGAATGAAACGGCTTTGGTTCCAAACCACACCTCTGCTATTGTTATTGTGAACAGCTCATCAAGTCACCATTTACTAGAAATTACCCGTGAAATTCCACGGTTTAAGTCCCTCCAATAAAAGTAAATGTGTCCTTCACACACCGGGCCGGATTTTTTCTTCATAATATATTTGACCAACTCTTGAGTCAGAATATTAGCGATATGGGGTGACATAAATTTTGCTAATCCCATAACATTTGCAAGATAAACATTTTCTTTCACCGATGTTTTGTTTAAACTAGGTCAAAAAAACATCAGCATAATTTCCAGGTATGAGTGAGCACATGACAATTATTCAAGTATTGCGACTGGCAGGATCATGTTTACATTATACCGACAAGGAATATGAATGCTCAAGTGAACAAGTAGGGGAAACACTGGCCTTTTATTCAACGAGTGGGAAGTTTCCACTTTTTTTAGGGGTAAATCCACATCTCCGTGTCACACTCCCTCCCTGCTTCCATCCGACTTTCCCTCCCCCACCTGAGATTTCTAAAGGCTAATGTGCATGCTCATCTGCAGATAGGTATCTGAAATCCGAAGGTCGGATAGGAAATTCAGCTGTATACATAGTAGCTCACTCCGTTTCGATGAATTCTGTGCCAATATTTCAGCCTATCGCATTTGTGGGTATATTACAGACAAATTAATACTGACAATGGTCGATAATTCACAGTTATAAAAGCGCTGTCCCTGGTACTGACTGATATTGCTTTCATAAAAAATTTAAGCAATCAACATTACTTAGTCTCAATAGTCTCTCACATAGAAAAGTTCAGTTTACTATGCTAAAAAGTCACTTCATATCAAATATATGAATCTGAAAATGTCAAAGTGGTTTCTCCTTCGAAAAGGTGGTGCATTTCTTGTTTCCTCGATAAAGCTCAGGGTCAACTTGTATTTGAAAATCCCGCATTACTACGACGGGATGATCTTAATCACCAGTTTTCTGAAACGTAATTGCCTACTATACTTCGTTGCCTGATATGTACGTATTCTTAGGTTTTTTCGATAAAGTCACGTAGGTAAAAAATTAAAATTAACTCACTTGATACAGCTATCGTGCTGTGACGGTTCCACCTGAAGACGGAAGCTTGTGTTGCCTAGGAAACGTCGTGATTTTTATTTTATTTTCATTTTACTTTTATTAATTTAATTTTTTTACCTACGTGACTTTACCGAAAAAAACTAAGAATATGAACCCTTGCAGTCACGAAAGCTTCAAATCTAGAAATGATATGTACGTGTTATAATTTGACGTATACACTATATAGGCTTTTTTTGGGAGGGCTGCGCCATGAAAACCCCTCACATTTTGAACCCAATACCCAATCTGAAAGAAAACCAAACATCGTATTAACATTCTCACGAATAAAGTGTTGCCTTCCCGCTCGTCCGTGGTTCATCCTCACGACTTTGAGTCGTCCCCTTTATTAAATCCTTTATATTAAGTGCACTTGCTTGCTTGCGCGCTTACGACTGTGCAAATCTTTCGGTCGTTTTTTAACCCACTTCCCGTGATCCAATCGAGCTGACATTTTGCACACAGACTCGTTGTGCGTGACAATTTATTTTAGGAATTTTTTTTTCATATTTAATTTAAAATACCAATGTGATAAAAATGAAACTCTTACTCAAGAAGAACATAAATGAATAATAAAATAAAACCGATGTCACGCATATAAAGGATTTATAGTGAAAACTTTGTTTTTACGGGTTAATTTTTTCGAGAGCGAGGAACGGACGCTGCGCGCGTTACAAGTTGACATCATCGAAGATTCGTCAGGTCACCGCATCGCGCGACGCTTTCAGATGCGCTTCAACGGCCGTCTGGAACGCTCTTCCTTCCGATATTAGGAAGCCATTGGAGCTATGCACTTTTATATCACCTACATTGAAAACCTTTCTTTCGAACAGTTTTTTGTGTGTTTGTTTATTGTCCTCCTCCCGCACATCCGATTAGAGCGGTTGGTTTGCGTATGGTGCGAAAGAAGTTCAACATTATCCCTGGACATCTGGTCTATGATTGCTTCTCGTTCGTATTGTCGATACTGTCCACCTCATGTGTACTGGCTGTACAGGCAGCTACAGCATTTCCTTGTTATTAATACCGTCTCATTTAAATCTGTTTTACTGTCTCGTCCTTAGACTTCACTGGCTTATCTTCTGTAATGCCTCCTGTATGCTGTCCACTATGTACTGCCAATTTAATACTGGTAGGAACCCACTGGTTCGACCAGCCCACAGGGAGGGGCTGGGTGGGGAGGGAGGGGCTGGGTGGGGAGGGGAGGGGCTGGGTGGGGAGGGTGGGGAGGGGCTGGGTGGGGAGGGTGGGGAGGGTGGGGCTGGGTGGGGGGTGAGAGGGGTGGGGCTGGGTGAGGAGGGGCTGGTCACCCCGTGGTGCCCTTATAAAACTCAACGTTTAACCTACTCACGCCGGCTTGTGCCCGCCCTCACAGTCGGGAATATTTGCGGAATACACCACGCCGCCGTTGACCCTGGCCATTGACCGAGCAACCCAACGTTCCTACCAGCTCCCTCCGCAGGAATGTGTTTACAATATTGGGGCAGTGTTGCATAGGGGTGCCATGGTGGCGAGATGTTAACTACCTCGCCTGGTATGCAGGAGGTCGTGCGCCCAATCCCGACGCCTGGCGTCGTTCGGAAGAGCCAGGCCACAGCGTGTCGGCGCCGTGGTTCCACATTTGTGAAATTTGAAAAGTTGAACCGCAAATGACAATATGCGCAATTTAGGATGTGCACAGAATGTCAGAATACCATTCCTTTATACTGCAGGAGGAATCCGATTAGCTATAAAGCTCTTTAGATGTCCAGTAGGGGCGAGTAAGAACGTTCCACGTGTACGCAGCATTGATCCCCACCCCTAATTGTGAAGAATTTGTCAGGACCCTCCTGAAAAAGAGTTTTGTTTTTTTGTTATTTTCTTTGAACCCATCTTCGTGACTTTTACCGAAAGACCCACAAAGAGTCTTGACACTCGGTGATGCTTTCCTTGAGAAAACAAACTAAACACCAATCCAGCATCGCATTTACATTTGAATGTAAATAAATTTACATGGAATCCGATTAGCTATAAAGCTCTTTAGATGTCCAGTAGGGGCGAGTAAGAACGTTCCACGTGTAAGCAGCATTGATCCCCACCCCTAATTGTGAAGACTTTGTCAGGAACCTGCTGAATAAGAGTTTAGTTTTTTTGTTATTTTCTTTGAACCCATCTCCGTGACTTTTACCGAAAGACCCACAAAGAGTCTTGACACTCGCTGATGCTTTCCTTGAGAAAACAAACTCAACACTAATCCAGCATCACATTTACGTTTGAATGTAAATAAATTTACATGGATCGATTCTATAATCGCCGACTTACAAATTCGATTTCCTCGCCCCACACAAAGCGCAGGTGGTAACCTAGGAATCGATTCGAGTGTCGGAATCGCTATGAATCGATACGCGCGCTTCCGTTTCGCATAGCCGCTCTGTGGAATGCAATGGGCAAATCTGCAGTCGCAATTGCGCCACCGCTGCTCGTCAAGACCGACTTTCACGGAAAGAAATGTCTCCTCCGGCTGTTAGACCTTCTCCTCTAAACGTCGAAGGCCATTCGGCATTCGCAGCAGCGTCCGTCTGTCTTTGAGCGAGCCCGGCCGCCCGTTCTACGAGGCCGCGCGTGAAGCCTCGAACTCGCCTCGCCGCTCTGCCCGGCAAGAGGCGATCCAACTCGGACAGTGAAGGGGGGTGGTGGGGGGGTCGGGTCAACCCTGGGTGGTCGGGGTCAGGGACGACTTTTTTTGTGGTTGTCTCTCTGGGGGTCTCCCCGCGCCACCCACCACCACCACCACCATCCTCTTCTTGAAACACACGAGCGCGTAGCTGAATTAGAAGCCAGGACATGAATCACAACAGCATCCCGCCGCGATGGCTTCACTGCCCAAGGCGTGGGCAATTGGTGGCCGGTAAGGCAAAGCAGCCTTGTTGATGATGATGATGGTGGTGATGATGCCCTCTCTGATGGCGATTTCTGCCCCCGTTGTGGTCCTGCTTGTGGAGAAAGTGCCGTCTACTGTGGCTCCCAACGTCACGGGCACTTAACTACAGGCAACTGCGATCGGTGGCCCAGTGGAGTTGACCACGTTTTGTGGTGGCTTGAATTTTTTTTTTTAATCTGTGCCCCATCAAGACAATGTGTGGATCTGTGGCCATGCTGCACATTTCAAATTTGGGCGAGGGCGGCCTTTTGTTCCGGGTGTGTCGGAATTATTTTAAAATTTGTGTGCCTTCCTGGTCCATTGCCCAAGAGGTACCCATGTAGGGTATTAATTGAAAGGGGCACAGCATACATGGTTTCCACCTCTGTCCAAACTTTGTGGTGTAGTTGCCCTCGCCGTTATTCTCATGCCCCTGTGTCTCACGTATCGCGTCTATAGATAATTCACTGGTTTTAAAATTACAAATAGGAATCCTTATACAAATGAACATAATTTTTTAGAGTGTCTTAAATTCATTTAACCAAAATATGTCAATATATACCCTACCTTTACAATAGTGGTTTTATATGGTCCATGATTATACTGCACACTCCATAAAATGAGCACCTACATTTTGGGAAGTTGGCAATTTTCCTATGCATAATGACCCATGCCACGACAACATAATTTCCACCACTGTCTTTAAGTGCTGTCACCGTGATGAATTTGTCCCATTATTTCAACAGGGTGATACTTGGACTTCAATGAGATTGTTTTTTTTAACTCGATATTTTTTTAATATCCAATGTTTACTTTAATATGCAGCACGTAAGAGGGAGGAAAATGAAATTGGAAAAAAACGGTTGCTGTCAATGGATATGTTTCATTATGCAGGGGAAAGAAATGCATGGCTGACTTTTTCTGAGCCCCTTGCAACATGCAGTTACATCCTGTTGACTTGTCACCAGCTATGCTTGCAGTACAGTATAACATCTAGGAAGGCTTGTATTTTCTTACCAATACGTTTCTGTGTCATCACATTTAAATGATCAGTTTCAGTGTTCAACCTGAGCATTAAATACTTTCCGTGAGTAATGTACCTTGTACAGAACTTTATGGCTGGATGAGAGCCACCCCACGCTGTTAAGGGATCATACTTGACTCAGGCTAGTGTGGGTTGGTGAAGATGGAGAGTGGGGGCAGAGAGTAAGTAAAATAATGCATTTTGCTGCATTGCCCTCTGCTTTCCACGACGTAGCCCCACAGAATATAACAATCTGCTGTGTATTGTGATTTCCCATCCAAGGACCATCGAGAGTAAAACTTACTTGATATGCAAGATCTGACGAGGTCTGGGACATTGTGGGTGACAGGCTGAGTACTCTAATGCAGGTCAATATTTGCAACTGCAATGCGGAGATTGAACGAACCACATTCCAAAGCATGTACTGTGGCTGTGGGTCATGCAATTCAACAGCAAGCATAGGACGTAATCACATTTTTCACCATTGACCTCCCTCAAATATAGGGTCAGAGCCAATAAAATATTCTTCTAGCTGCTCCTTGGATATAAAACACCTTTTATAATTTCCCCAGATAAACTTTAGATTTGCTTTCTTCATCCCAACCCTATATTGAATGTTCCACTTGAAACATTCAAGATAAACACATCAGCTTTTTGCAGAAACAATTGCATGAAACACTTTTGGAATGGCAGGAGAAAATTTGACAGGCAAAAAAGGTGCTTGTGTTATATATATTTTTTGTCGTCCTTGTCATTTTATGATTGATTATGTAATTAACGATATACCAGCTAGAACCATTTTACGTATTTCTTCAGGATCGGGCATTTTGTTTTTCCACTGTCAACTCCCCACAGAGAGGTTCCTGCCGCTGAAGACGATGCTGAGTACGCGGTACGACGACCAGGTCCCGGAGGAGTGCCGCTTCAATCCCTCCATGCTCTCAGTCTATCTCAAGAGCCGCAAGGTGCTGAGCTCACCCACTTGCGCGGCCCACTCACAAGCACTCGCGCTTACCTACACGCAACTTTCGGTATTATGCTCATGCACATCCGGCTACATTCACATGTGTGCAGCCCTTTGTCAATCCACTGATGGATGAAAACTGCCCCTCACGCTGCGTTGATTATGGTGGTTGTTTTGACCATGCATCACCATGCCAGTCAGTGCGAGTTGGTGGTAATTACTTTATTAACTCTGGAATAATAAATGATTTAGCTCACCCCGACTAGGATTTTAACTTGCAGATTTCTTATTGAGAGCTGTGCACTCTAAATCACTTCCCCACCCGACCAGAAATTCACATCGAGTTTATGCTCATGTTTGGAGTGGTCACACAATGGTTAGCACACTGCGCTCCGAACCCAGGACCCGAGGTTAATTCATATCCACGGCTAACAGTAGTGAGTGATATCTGAACTGGTTGTTAGGCCTCCCCCTTTCACGAACCTCCATTGACCAGTGTGCTGAAGTATGATCAAACAAGCCCTGTGACCGACATGGGATGGGGACGCCTTCATATTATAGTGAATTTACGAAGTGTCACACATTGTATATACTCACTGTAATACCAGTTATTATAGTGAATTTACGAAGTGTCACACATTGTATATACTCACTGTAATACCAGTTATAGTGAATTTACTAAGTGTTACACATTGTATATACTCACTGTAATACCAGTTATTATAGTGAATTTACGAAGTGTTACACATTGTATATACTCACTGTAATACCAGTTATGGATAACTAAAAAAAATGCAAATGTCTTTTGGCCCTTTTTCCGAAATCATGTTTTTCTGGAGTCGGAGAAGGCTTTTGGGTTTGATGTGAAGTGATGCTATTGCCTGTCTCTTGTGCTCCTGGGCAGGTGGAGATGGGTGTACTGATTGACCTGACCAACACAAATCGTTTCTACGACAAGAAGGAAATTGAAGATGCTGGAATTACCTACTTCAAGCTGTATTGCCGGGGGTAGGGAACGCATTGATAGTGTGGTATTTGGTGTTCAGAGTCTTATGGTTTATTTTATAACCATGACGTTTATTTTGCATTTTGAGATGCGGTCATCGAAAGTCATTGACACTTGTATAACTTTCAAACAAAATTATATATGCCGGAAAAAGGTCCTGGGAGGATTATGGATCACTTAACAAGCTGTCAAGCCATACAGATATAATGGAAGATGAAAGGTTTTATTGCGTTTGACAACCAGGCAGAAGTGAGGTTAGCCAGCCAAGAAATGCCAATGATGCACAGACCTTATCCTGTATGCCATAGCATGCATATAGAATACGCTATAGACATTTGGGAATAGAGTTAGATTTGTCGAGGATCCATAACTTCGCAGTTAAATTGTTCAATTGACACATAAGGTAAATTTGTAGACATATCCACGCTTTGCTAAGATGCCCATTTACCGCATATCTACCATTCAGATAAGTTTGGTAAATTCTTTGTGTCTCTCTTGCAGACATGGGGAGTGCCCATTGCCTGAACATACACAGGTTTTTGTCAAGTTCTGCGACAACTACATCAAGAAAAACCCACAGAAAATCATAGGCAAGCTCTTACAAGAATGGCAAAGCACACATCATCATACAAATACAACATATAGTCTCCAGTTGGCATAGCCACGGTAAACATTACATTTTTAGAAGCGGAACGTGTAATGATTAATTGATCACTTATTTAAAAGTGATACTTTTCCCTCACGATTCATGTGTATAAATAACGATTGATTAATGCAATATATGTGATGATTACTGTATATGCAAATGTTCCCTTTGTAAAGCAAGAGGCAGAACAAACACAAAGGTCATAAAAATGAGACAGTATAAATAAGACCCTACTATGTATTCTTGATTCAAATCATTTTCCTGAATCGTGACAATTCGTCAATTTTCTGGGGGGAGGTAAATCTTTACACATCCCGTAGCATTTTTTAAAGTCCATGTGCATCGAAGCTAATGTGCAACTGTAGCATTTTGACTACAGTACGCCAGTGACTGAAAATTCCCATTTTAATAAACAATGCTGTGAATCAAAGCACAGGACGAATCATGTGGCTATCTGTCTCAAGCACCCGCTGAACACAGCTCACTGACCATGGCCACCCGTTGCTTCCACAGGGGTGCACTGCACGCACGGCTTCAATCGCACCGGCTTCCTCATTTGCGCCTACCTTGTAGAGAAGCTGGACTGGAGGTGGGTTCGTCTTCCCTTTCACTGCCCCCACATTCGGGTTTTAATCTGGCCGAAATGGCTCGATAAAAACTATAAAATAAATGTTTTTTTTTTGTTTTACTAGGTAGGGCCCACTGAGCTTTCTAGCTCTTTTTCAGGAGTGACTTGGCCACAAAATGATAGCTCAACGAATTGCCTTAGCACGTGGAAATGTATAGCAGCCAAATACTCTAAATGCACGTTACTAAATGTGGAGGGAAAACCGGGAGGACCCGGAGAAAAATCCACGCGACCACTGGGAGAACATGCAACCTCCAAATAAACAGGGGTCAGGGGTGGAATCGTACTCACGACCTGAATTCCAGACGAGCTAGTTAACAGCTCACACCACCATGGTGCCCTTTCTCATGTGGAACGCTCTTCGCCTTGTTTGGCTGTGCAGCGTGGAAGCGGCCGTGGCGGAGTTCAGCCGCGCCCGCCCGCCCGGCATTTACAAGGGCGACTACCTGGACGAGCTGTTCGGCCGATATGGCGACTCCGAGGACACGCCAGCGCCTCCGCCACTGCCAGACTGGTGCCTGGAATTTGACGACGGCGATGCCGGGCTCGACGATGACGGTGACGTCCCGGCACATGGAGCCGCGCCCAGCTCGTCTGGCGGGACCCACACCGGTCGCAATCGCAGGGAGATCTTTCGCACTGTGAGTGTGATGCTGTATTTCTCACATCGCCTGTAACCCTGTCCTCCAGCCGTACACATGCGCGCACCGCATCATCCCAAGTTCCAGTGTGATTTTTTAAAAATGTTATAGGAAGGGAGGTACAAGGGCTACCGCTAATGTCGTACTGTACGATACGTTATAGCAACTCTGTGAAGGTTTTTGTAATTTTGGTGTTCCCATAACTTTGTAATTGTATTGTTTTAATTCTTGGCTGTACTTTGAGGAGCTGTAGATTACTTAAAAGTTATTCTGCTGCAGTTCACTCAACATGAGCCTGCCGTAAATCTTTCAAGCATTCTGACGTTATAATCTATATTTCTTGTAATGCAGATGCTGCCAGTAACCGATGAAATTATTGAATAATTCAGAGAACTACAAAAACGATTACATCTTATAACCATCGTATAATTACCATGCCATCAATTACTCCTGAATTTTTTTGCAAAGCAGTAATTTAATGAATAATAGCTATTAATTTACAACTTTTTTTTATTAATGAATGATTTTGTCATGAAATAAAGCGAAAATGCATCGATAACACTACATAACACAATTTTTGTTCCTGGGTACTAAGTGTTATTTTTAATTGTTTTATGCCTAAAAAGTGTAACAAATGGCTATTATTCCCCACAAACTTTTATTTTGTGACCAGGACTTTTTGTGAATGAAAGACACAAATGCACACGATTTCTCATTGAAAATAGGTACATTTCAAATTGTCACTATCCTGGTCACAAAAGCAAAGTTTGTGGGAAATAATAGCCATTTTCTGTACTTTTGAGGCATAAGTAATTAGGAAATAACACTACCCAGGAACAAATATTTTTTTGTTACACTGTATTCAGCATGGAACGATGTTTTTGTGAAACGAATGATAAGACCATTGCGAACCTTGCATCGTATAACCTAGTATCACCGTTTCGTGACATCCGTACAATGCCACTGTCCCACAGGGCGTGGTGTTTCTGGAGGGTGTCCAAGTGCCTGGCGTCACGCAGCTGACCACCCAGCATAAAATCTCCATGGTGCAGCACAAGGGCCAGGAATTCTGCATGTGGAAAGGGTATGGTGTTCCGCAGATGGGAAAAATGTATAACCTGCAGACCACTCTTACTGAACAGATCCTCTATGTTGTGTGTCACATTGACCCGCCGTTCACGAAGCTCTCACGTCGTGGCAGCTAGCACGGAAATATCAGTCCTAGCTTATGTTGGAGCTACATGTGGTTATTGATGAAGAGACAAGGACAGTAGCCGATACAATTGCAAGAGAGTCAATGAATTTTACTGGACGTAGACTTTTAACGAGCCTGGCCTAAGAGTGGGTTGAAGGTGACGGTGAATACATCGAGCTGTGAGCCTCGCGTCACATCTCTGGTGAATAAATGGAACATTGATCTGCTTACCTTTCCTATACCCTGCACTCCTATCATTGTGTTTTGTATTGTTTGATGTTTCTAACATTGTGACCAACCCCTACTGGAAATCTGTGAAAAAGAGCTTCATACTCTTAGGTTTTTTCGGTAAAGTCACGTAGGTAAAAAATCGACGTTTCGGAGGCAACACAAGCTTCCGTCTTCAGGTGGAACCGTCACAGCACGCTTGCTGTATCAAGTAGAGCCCACAGCGTTGTAGCAATGATCGGCAACGGCGGATAAGTGAAATTTTACCTACGTGACTTTTTTTACCTATGTGAATTTACCGAAAAAACCTAAGAGTATGAATCCTTGCAGTCACGAAAGCTTCAAATCTAGAATTAATACCCTCTACGGGGAGGAATTTCACCTATCCGCCGTTGCCAATCATTGCTACAACGCTGTGGGCTCTACTTGATACAGCAAGCGTGCTGTGACGGTTCCACCTGAAGACGGAAGCTTGTGTTGCCTCCGAAACGTCGATTTTTTACCTACGTGACTTTACCGAAAAAACCTAAGAGTATGAATCCTAGCAGTGACGAAAGCTTCAAATCTAGAATTAAGAGCTTCATAGTTCATCGGATTGATTTCTCCAGAATCAATACATATTCTGATTCTGTCTGACGTCTTTGTTTCTCTGTGTCCATGCTGCTGCCAACACAGGTCTGGCTTTCCAGGTGCTCAGCCCGTGTCTATGGACAGAAAGAACTTGGTGTTCCTCAGCAATAAGCATTACATGGTCAGTTGGAAGGCTGACGGCACACGGTAAGTACCTGCCTGCCTGCCTGCCATCCCGGGATCATTTACTTTGCATGCAGTTTTAATGTATGAAGTTGTTTACATCTGACCGCATCTCAAGATGCTGTACACAGACATGCACATTATGAGACTGGGGAAGAGGGATTTTAGTTTAAGGGGAAGTTATAGGAAAGGGAGGTACGGTGAAAATACTTCTTATGTGGTTACTAAAACACGAATAGTGGCCAGTCGTAAGCTTAGGAGAAAGAATAATGTTCTAAACCTTGCCATGGAGATGGAGTTCCAGACCTTAGGCATAGCAGCAGAGAAGAAGGAAGCCTCTCATTGAAAATATATTAAAATAAGGGGGATATAGAGAAGGCCTTATTTGCTGGAGTAAAGAGCTCTGGTGAGGGGTATGGTAAGATGATGAGAGAGGTAGATAGGGCTTGTCAATCTGTGAAATCTTGGAGATGATGAGGGCAAGCTTGTAGTTGATTAAGAGGTTGAATCGAGACACAGTTGAGGTGGTCTGAGAACTGCAGTGGTGTGATCTGTTACTGGTGTTTAGTGGTTAAGGATTTGGTAATGCACCACGAGTTTAGATTAATTTTTTTATAAAATCAAGTTTCATACAAATTTTTTACCATTATTGTAATCAACTTTGTGCTCTTTCCACTGCTTAATGTCAACATTGGTTGCCCTCTAGGGTCGAGGGGGGTGTTCTCTTTGCTCCCCTCCCTTTCAACGAAGTGTCCTCCCCAAGTCCACTTACTTTTCCTAAACAGCCAATGTGATTCTAGATTTGAAGCTTTCGTGACTGCAAGGATTCATACTCTTAGTTCTTTCGGTAAAGTCACGTAGGTAAAAAATGAAATTAAAATGAATTTTATTATTTTATTTTATGAATTTTAATTTCATATTTTACCTACGTGACTTTACCGAAAGAACTAAGAGTATGAAGCCAATGTGAGGTCTCTGTGTACTTTCAACGGATATTTTTTTTTTTTACACACAGGGAGGAGACTTTATTACATTGCACAATAACCTTATAATCAGGATCAGAAGGAATGCAATAACTAATTAATACATCAATTGAAATGGATTCTACACTCGCGGTGCAGGCTTTGATTAGTTTTTGTAATCACGGATGGTTTTCGACTTATACAGGGTATGCAAATGTTACGTTTAGGCTAATGAAACAAACGGCCTATCAGACATGACATACAGTGACACCAGGATGAAAAAAAACATTACATTCAAAAATCAAATCATGCCCAGTCATCATATCGCAGGGGAACGTGAATGATTACATGCTGGAGGTTCAGTGCAGAGAGAAAAGTCAAATTCTCACTTCTCTGCATGTCACCCTTTTACCCTCCTTGTTCGTATCAACACTGCATGACTCCCCTCCGCTGATGTTGCACTCCTCCACAGGTACATGATGCTCATCGATGGCGAAAATGGAGTGTTCATGATCAACAGGGACAATATTATATTCCACGTCGCCAGCCTTGAGTTCCCGAACCGCAAGAGCCCCGACAGCCACATCAACAATACGCTTTTGGATGGGGTGAGCTGCTCAAATTGTACAGCAGGGCCCTAAACACAATACCTGGGGCAGAGAGGCGTCGTGTGTGAAAAATGTACTTAAAAACATTGCTGTGGGAGCTGTCGGGAGCCAGAATGAGGACTACAAGCGGTGAACTTGAATTCCTGGGCTAGAGTCCTGGTGACCGTCAGGTTATTAAACGGAGTTCTCGAGTGTAATCACTTACTAGTTTATTCTTCCTGTACCAACATTTTATTTTTAAATCCGTTTTATTGACATGCGAAGAACACTCTTTACAGAGCATATTGAAATGGCTTCAGAAGTAGTTCACAATGTTATGTCCCTGGGCTGTTTCTCTGATGTATGCTTGTGCACTCTAGCTGTGAGATTTACGAATGGAAGTACCTTCTTCTTGTGCCGTGGCGCCATAAGTACATGGGGAAAAAAAGAATACAACTAATCATCTTCTTGGTTCTTTCGGTAAAGTCATGTAGAATGGAAATAATAAAATAAAAAATAAAGCAATAAAATAATTCTCACGACGTTTCGGCCACAACGCAAGCAGCCGTCCTCAGGCGAAGAACTGGTCTGTCGGAAAGACAGCGTCTGAATGAACACCACCAGGCTTGGCAGCGTACATTCAAGCTGGGTTAGGGGGGGAAGAGCGCCTTGACAAAGGAACTTGCACACCCCATATCAGCATTTCCCATAAACTATCATCTCGAATGTCCCTCCATGCTATGTGCAGGAGATGATCGTCGACAAGGTGAATGGGCAGGACGTTCCTCGCTACCTCATCTACGATATCGTCAAATTCAACGTAAGACGTTTTCTTTATGCCGCAATTTGTACAGATGGTTTCTGCCGCCCAGCCACCCGCTAACTTGTCCAGTTGTCTAAAGCATAGTCTGCTTGCTGCTGGATGAAGGCCTTCCCATCCATTTCATTCTTGAGCGGTTTTTTTTCCCCCATCAATCACCACACTGGTCATTGTCGGTTAATCATGGTTGGGTCCAGGATTGATTGATTATAGTCATGACGGGAATTGAGCTTAGTTTGCGGGATTTATTTACCTGCCTTTAGCTGGATAATCTTACCTGCTGTGCTGAACAGCTGCTGGTATGCGTACAGGGTCAACATACCCGTAGTATTATATTTCACCTGGGAAGTGTACAGCAGCAGATTCTTGACCATTGCTGAGAATCATAGCAGATTCCTTACTCGCAGTGAAAACAACTGCACAATAGTTCCAGATGTTTGTTGATGTACGTAGCCAAGAAAGGTAACAAGTAAAATAAAACTCTTTCGTCCAATAATCTCAGAACATTTAGTACCATCTATTTCATTCATCGCTGCAGAGTGTGCTCCCAGTCACCACGTGCGTTTATGTTTACGAGCAGCAGAGGGTGCACGCTCACCGGCTCCACTCGGATAAAATCCACTTTTCCTGTTGAGATGAGGCTTAAATGTGGCCTTGGGACATTAATGTGCTATCCTGTCCCCTCTTGATGGCTAATTGGCTGTAGCCATAATTGGCTGTAGCCATAATATATTCAGAACTTACGACCACCAAGAGTAATTATTGCAACGTGCGTTAGACTTTGTTATGTATGCGAAATAAGTTCAGCATACATGTATGTATGTACATCGACAAGCGTGCTAATAGGAGGTGTTGAATATTGTTAGATAGTCGGTTTTCAGAACACAGTGAGCACAGTTTAAGTTGTGTGCTTCATTGTATTTGCCAGAAACCACTTATATTTCAGTAAAAAAAACCACTACACTTTTGAGAATTGGCTCTGAAACATGAGTATATTAATATTTTTAGTTTTTTACACGACATGTCAATTATGTTTAATATTTAATCAACTAAGTGCATTTACTGATAACTTGAATTTCTAGAAAGCAAAGCTGGATGTTATTGGTGTGTTGTAGCAGTAATGTGAGATGCAGTTGCGTGTCGGTCATCTCCGGGAAGGTTGCGGTGTGCAGCTATAATTGCGTAGCGCTGTTTCCCTGTAGGACGACATCGTCCTTAACGTGCCACGCTTCAGTGTTAATGTATTCTCTCAGACTGCCAGCACTTCTGAATGGTTTATCGAGCCTTAAAGAAATATCGCCGATGTATTCATGGCTGAGCTACCGCATTCCGTTTTGTGTTTTGACGGGTCGTGCCAGAGGAATAAGGACCTGTTTGAAATGGAGTTTTTTGTGTTGTTGTTGTTGTTTTTCCCACGTGGGTGTGAGTGTGTGCGCTCATGCCTTTGTCCCTTCTGCTGCCGGCGCTGGCGGTGGTGACAGGGCCAGCCCGTGGGCCAGTGCGACTTTAGGACACGCCAGCAGTGCATCCAGCGCGAGATCATCGAGCCGCGGCACGAGAAGATGAAGGCAGGGCACATCAACAAGGCGATGGAGCCATTCAGCGTACGAGCAAAGCCCTTTTGGGACGTGACGCAGTCGCGCTCCGTGAGTGCCCACCCTCTCTCACACACGTTCCTGCTTGCCTCCCCACCCTGGCGAACCTGTGCCTCGTTTCTTAACATCACAGTCATTAAATTTCGATTTAAAGCTTTCGTGACTGCAGGGATTCATCTTCTTGGTTCTTTCGGTAAAGTCACGTAGAATGGAAATAATAAAATAATAAAAATTAAACATAATCAAATAATTCTCACGACGTTTCAGCCACAACGCAAGCAGCCGTCCTCAGGTGGAGAACAGGTCTGTCGAGAAGACAGAGTCTGCTTGCGTTGTGGCCGAAACGTCGTGAGAATTATTTTAGTATGTTTTCTTTTTATTATTTTATTATTTCCATTCTATGTGACTTTACCGAAAGAACCAAGAAGATTAATTACAGTCCTTCTCCACTGTTTGACAATCTGCGTGTCCTGGGATCACAGCAGACTATTTAACTTCACAGTCTGGATCCAAAGTGAGCAAAAAAATGTTTTGCCAGGTAGCCAATGAGACTCAATTTATTTCTGTTTTGAAATAATTGAATGGAATATTGATCATGCCTATGAACAAAGACCTCAGAGGCTAAGCAGGGCTGAGCCTGAATAGCAACCATCATGCACAACAGGTGTTATAGTCAGCGGGGATATGTGGTGGACAGCACAGAGGAAGTGCAGCTAATGAATTGTTGGACTGTACTTGTGTGCTCCCACATATCTGCTTCCTGGCCACCCACCTTCACCAACCTCCACTCACCAGCAAGGCTGTAAATATCCACATATCCAATAATAATAACGCTGTTGGGGATGTTTCGCCAGTTGTGTTTATTTATATTTTGTATTTTACGTGTAAAAAGATAAAGGAGTACCTGGAGAAACCCCATGTATTTGAGCGGATAATGTTTAAGCCGTGCACAGCTGGGTTCACAACCCATTTGCTGTACAGCATTCCCACGTGATTCACGAACTTCCTATCTGCAATTTTGGCTGTCCACAAATCGCATCTGTAGCTCGACATGGCTGCATCGAGAGAAAAAGCGATGAGAGAGAATGTGATGCGAGAAAGTGACGAGATAAAGTGACGATGGAGAAAATAATGAGATAAATAGATGAGAAAAAAGAGAGAGAGAGAACTTCTCGAAGCTTTAGAAGCACCTGTAGATGTTGCGCTGTATGATATCCGCACCCGCGAAATTTGCGAATCACGAGCATCTGCGGAACGTATCCGTCGCGAATAGCGAGGGAATGCTGGGAGTGTCATCTGGCCACCTCGCAGCCAAGCGTGTTTGGGTGTTTCATACATTGGTGTGAGCCACCATGCCTTGCATGCAAAGTGCTCGATTAATAACATGCACCACGAGGTCAAGCTATTGAAATGATTGATTGCATTTGGTATTGAGGTAAGTTTATTTTGAATTCATATGTAGGGCAATGCAGTTTTGTTTCGGCGTCAGTTTTATTTTACTCTTTTCTATTTTTTATTTTACCAGGTCGGGCCAACTCAGCTACATATTTCTTTTTCAGAAGTGGCCTGGCCACAAATTAAGTGGCTCATGTGGAAATTTCTAGAAGCCAAATACTCTAAATGCATGTTTCTAAATTAGAACGTGGAGAGCTAGACATAAATCTGTTGTGACAGTAGCAGCATATTTATTTATGGAATTCTATTGAAAGAGCATTGTTTCAAATTCGTGTTGTCTTATCAGTGGCTCAAAGTAGAAATAATAATAAAGTCTGACAGGAATATTACACATAATTGGTACTTTAACAACATTCTTAAACATCACTAAAAGGGAAGATAAACAACATTCTTATATGTTTTCATTCTGGCTTTCAATGAATAAATTTACAAAATTACATTTCGTGAAGGCATCACACGTGCTGCAATGAAATGCATGTTGGTGTTGATGCTTAGCCATGAGCCTAAAGAAAAAAAAAACCCCATCAGCATGCTATAAAACAAACGTAAGTATATTTGCATAGTTTCCCATTACCACAACGTGACTTGTAGAGATACAGTGATGGTTGATCGTAAATGTAAAAGCATAATTTGGTGAAATTTCCTTACGCAGGGTACATTTCGAAAATTAATAAATGTCTCCCCACTAGCCTCTTTGCAAAGGGGAAATATCCAAATAGTCTTAATTTAAAGCCATAAACAAATGGGCTGGATTTCAACACCGGGTCGTTATGAGAATACAAATGTAGAACATAATGTGAAATGACTTAACACTTATTACTCCGTGGCTTTGTTGGCACTGATTTGTGAAATGCTTCCGTTTATCCCAAGAGTCACCAAATGTAATAGTGTCGTTATTCTGTCCAGGCACTTAGCGGCCTCTGCTACGATCTAAAGGCAGTTGTTCGCGACGCTGTTGCTGCCGCTGTGTGTAGAGTCAAATGCCTTGCAGCCGTGGGTTGGAAGATGCAGTACAGCAGACGTGTGTAGCCTCCTGGCCACTGCTTGCATTGGTCGTGTACCATGGCCAAGGTAAAAATTGGTACCACCTGAATTCGATCAATTCAGTGACACCAATAACACTGGTCTACAATTTTTTGACTTCGTCTGCTTCAGAGATGAAAGGTGCTGTTTATTATGGATTTTGGTGTGCTGAATTCCAATGTGACAATTGAAACAACTGATTGGTTACTGTCCCCAAGATATTTACGTTTTTACATTTGACGTCTATGTATATTGTGTATATAGTAGAGTTTTACTCATAAATTGTTAAACTGGGTCTTTTCATAGTGTTTATGGTTGCTTAACATGATAACATGTCACCTTGTGCTGTTCATGTAACACTTTAAAAATCAGCAAAAGGGTTATATAAATAAAATGTATTATGAAACAAAAGGCAAAACACTTATGTATATATAACTACATACTCTTTGGGTCTTTTGGTAAAGTCACGTAGATAGAAAAATAATAAAATAATATCTACGTAATTTTACCGAAAGACCAAAGAGTATGAATTCCTGCAGTCACGAAAGCCTTTAAGTCAAGATTTGTAAGTACATAGTTTAGTTCCTATTCAGTGTCCACTCGGTGCTTCTTGGCTGGTCTCTTGCATTTGCCCTGATAGCAGTTTCTCCACTGTCGCAATGTCCTGGTGAAATCGCCCGCCATGCTCGTCGCTCGCTGCTCCGCAGTTCGGTGAAAAAAAATCAAGATGAGATTGCAAATTTTTTATCTTTAGTGACATGTTGCAACTCCAAGGCTTTTGTATGCCTTGAGGAGGTTTTCCACCAACTCCCTGTAGTTGTCTGCCTTGTTGTTTCCGAGAAAATTTGTTGCCACTAACTGTGGAAGGCTTTCCATGCCAGTCTTTTCCTTGCCACGCAGTGCACTGTCAAATGCATCATCTCGAAGAAGTTCACGAATCTGAGGACCCACAAAGACACCTTCCTTTATCTTAGCTTCACTTAACCTTGGCAATTTTCCACGGAGGTGCTCAAAAAGCAAGTACTGTCCAAACCCAGTCATAGATTTTTTCGTTGATCCAGTCAAAGATGTATTTTAGTCATTTTTGGCTTAAATTGGGATCCCTTCCCACCCAGTAGCATATCTTGAAAACTAAAGCCAATCCATAATTTTAAGCATCATTTTCATTCTCAGTGACTACATTTATATCGGAAGCATTTTGGCTGTAGACCAAAGTTACGATTGAAAAAAACCGTCAATAATTACAGGCCTTTGTTAATCCACGGCAGGATGAACACTTGTCCACACTGTGTCAGTCATGGGGGTTGTTTGACCATACTTCACCACATTGGTCAGTGCAATTTTATAAAGGGGAGGGGAGGATGGTGCTTGGAATCGGTTGGGATATTACTTGCTCTTCAAGTTATCCATGGCCAGAAATCAAACTCAGATTCTGGTTTCATAGCATAGTGCGTTAACCACGGTGCCACTTCTCCTTCCACCAATTTCGTTTTGTGACAAATGCATGTAATGCAGGAAACGTGTTCTATGGTGATCACATTCCAGTTATCATCTGCTGTTGCAGAGCTTTAAAAACAACAACTCGATTTTGCAACCTCAAGACGGTTGATGGTCTAGTCTGGGCTGCTGGGCTTTGATGCCGGTGGCTCGGCTTTAGGCCCAGGTAGCCCTGCCGAGATGACTTAAGTCTCGGTTACCACTTCAATGCCGCGAAGATATTGGTTGTAGCTCAACAGGGCTGGCAAAGGGGGAAAAATATAAAATTCAATAATAGGAGCATGTGAATGAATATCGTGCGGCTCCACAGAGGCATATTCCTGAGACTGTTTGCCTCGAGGATTTCTGTAGATGGATATTGTAATGCACTTGGCTGGATATATGTGGCATTAGTTTAGCAGCTTGTGCCACGTTCATTTGTGTGCAGAACGCGAGCTCTGAATTTTAAAGGGTGCCCTGGTGTGCACAGGCTGAGAGTCCTTGTATTTCCAACTGGCAGGTCTTGAATTGTGTCATAGGTTATCAAAGGGTCCATAAATACGCGGGTATGACTGCGCTTTGAAATTCACGATATCACTTCTGACTACCTTTCCCGAGCTGGTGGTGAGATGGATATGTAGCAGGAAATGTAAATAGTAAAATCTAATTTTGAAGGAAATCATATACACATGATAACTGGTTCCTGTGTTACATTATTTGCAGCGTTGGTTTCTGTAGCACATGGAGCATATTAGTTGGCTGATTGGTCTAAAGAAAAATTTAATGAATTATATTTATGATACCCATGCATTTATGTAAGCGGCTAAGGGCCTTTAGTTGTGTGGGCATTGGTGGTGGCAAGATTATCGTCTATTTGAAGGTTTTTATTTTGAAACCCATTTTTAAAGCGCACAGTTTGTTACCAAAATTGGAATTGCACATTAGAGCCAATTACTCTTGGTCACAGCTGGCTTAGTGGATCCATTTCTGGCAGGAAGTGTAACCCCTCTTCTGGCTTAGCATCTCGATCGTTAAAGCTAAAATGTTTGCCAACATAAACTAATTCCAGTTTTTAATGGAGTCAATTATTGCTATGCCCGGGAAATAGTATATCTGTACGTATGATCTGTCGGAGGATACTTTGTACATTTCAAAAAGCATGCTTAATGTGTGCGCGTCTGTTTTGTACGTGTGTTTGTCTTTCATTAAAACATTTACCTCTTCTATGAGCCGCTAGCCCGAAAATGACGGCTCCCTTAAAAGACAGGCTTGAAAGCATGCCATAGTGTGGCTTTATTGTCAAAAAAAAAATCACTCGAGGTTCAACACAGTCAGCCGAGAATAGCCAGTAGCAAGGCTGACATTCAATACATAATTCGCTGGGCGGTTGTGGCGCACGATTGTTATCCAGCACTGGCGGTGAGGATTTGATGGCTCACACAAATGTTGTGAAAGTCCCCTTCCATTGGTGGACCGAGCAAAATGAAGTAAATGCTGGTGTCTTCATTATTTTTTCCTAAATCCATTTTAATTGTCGCCTGGGACTTGACTGAGCATTGTGAGCCTCGGTCCTCTGGCATGCCATGCCCCCTGGCATGCCAGAAGACAGTATAGCGTTTTGGAGATTCCATCTGTTTCATTTGTATAGGAGAGAGTTTCCCCATCGCACACGTGGTTTTTTTTTCCAGGTGCTCCTGTTCCAACATGTAAACACTGGTTTAACACGTAGGCTTTCACGACCAATATTATTCATAATAAAGGTTCTTGGATTCAGATCGCGTTATTTATAAATGTGTCGCAACCCTCCATCACCCGACACGGCCAATCCGTAAAAAATGTGTCACGTTGACAAAAGACAAATAGTTCACTACTTTAGCCCACCGGTGTGTTGAAGAGTGAATCCACAACCTTTATTATGTAAACGCTAATTAATTAATCCATAATACAGTTTTTTTTGGGGTTAGATTGCCTAAATATATAAATGTGTCATTAAACCCTCCACCACCCGACACAGCCAATTCGTAAGGTTTGTCACGTAAACAGAATGTGCCAATTTGTTACAAGTACTGCACACCAGTGTGTTGGAGAGCAAAGCCACAACATTTACAATCTGAGTACGACGTTTCGCCAGTAATTACAACTAGCTTCTTAAAGATTTGTGGAGAAATCCTCCTGTTACGCGCTCTAGCCCAAAAAAAAAGCTGTATTTTGGATTATATTGGTCGCGAAAGCCTACGTGTTAAACTGACTAATTAATTGGCTGATAACACCATGAAGGCAGCACTGAGTCAGCAGCACCTGCTGTGGAAGTGCGTGTGCGCACGGGGCTTATGTGGTGCGTGTGTGGTGCCCGTGTGATGTGTGTACCTCTCTGTTGGCAGCTGCTGGAGGGGAAGTTTGTGCAGCAAGTGAGCCATGAGGTGGATGGACTCATCTTCCAGCCGGCCGGCACAAGGCCCATCGATGTGAGTCCGTCGTGCAACTATGCACGCACCACACACATTGCACTTGGAATGCAACTGTTCTTTGATGAAAGTGAATTAACAAAAAATTATGAAAGTTGGTGCGTTAAATTATTCATTACTCATGCGAACTACATTCCAATACCGCATTTAGTCTTTGGGACCAAACAAGCTTGTCCAAATAAGATAACAAATTAGAAACAACTCAAATGAGACGAGCACTGGGGCAATTAGTCAATTTAGTTGATTAATCGTCTAAATTCATAATCGGCTGTTTTTTCTGTGGCCGATTACTCGGGCCCCTTTAAAAATGGCGGCCACCTAGACAACCTGCCTTGAAGGTGGGAAACCCCTAGAAGCCACAACCTTCAGACGATGCCGATTATGTCACCAAGCCCCACTCATATCCTCCTGTCTAGCGTCACGCGTGAGAAAAAGAGGCGAGACTTTTTCCAAACTGTGTTCATGTTTTCCCGATTAAACAAGTAATGACACCGATAATAGAGTAACTGATCACTTAATCGTGTTGCCTAGCTCGAAATAAGACGATAAAACCAATACGAAGACGAGTGTTCAATTAAATCACAACATTGCCTCGTGACAAATCATTGAATGAAGCGGGGGGGGGGGGGGGTTGGGGTGATTTGTCGCTTGTCTGTTTTGAATCTACACATGCTGACACGCACATGTATTTGGTGACAAGTAAAGTTCCTCTGGGGTCCAGGGCACACACACAGCACACCCCCCCACGCTGCACACCCCCCACGTTGCACACCCACCACCTCTGCATGCCCGTGAGTGCATAGGATGCCTACGTTGCAGCGCTGTTCCAGTTAGCATCACTGCCCACACCTCCTGTGAACTCCGCATCCGCATGTCCAATATCCTAAGCCAGCTAATAAAAACTCTTTAATTGTATTGTCGAAGTGATTTGAATTGAAATTGTAATTTTAAATGTTAAGGTAATTTGTACATTTGAAAATACTCACTGCGATTTAAACCAACATTTTCTGCTTGACATGATAATGAGCAGCAGTCATTATGAATCGCTCTCGGGCGGAGCCTGCGGTGCGTGTACACAAATGATCTTCGCTCCATTGACCGTTTAATTCCAGATGACATTGAACAATTTTTTACTTCGCCACTTAATAACTTTACATCTCCGCAAAGAGCCGTAGAAACATTCTATCCACGTGCGAGTGGTTTATTTTGTGCATTTCTAAGTTTGCCGAAACTCGTTTGAGTCTCTGCATGCATAAGTGTTTATGAATGTGTGTGTGGTGGTAGTGTAGTGGTTAGCACGCTGCGCTACGAACTCGACGACCCAAGTTCGGTTTTCCGCTCACGGTCAACACCAGTGACGATGATATTAATCGGTTCTGGAGTTCCCCCTAGATCAATTCAGCCATAATTGAATGCCTGGTGTGGTGTGCAAACATCACTACTGGTGAGACAAAGGCGGCCGGGCATGGTGTTCGCCACCCACCCCGTCGTGTGCCATGCCGGCCTTGAAAGGTGCTCGCTAACAGCACTTGCCCCAACAGTCTGTTAAGGCTGTATGTGGGATCTTTGTCTTTGTGTGCTCTGCCCACCGTGTGCGCTTGTATTGTACTTCGAACATGGGGGGGGCCTGAATTAGATTTCTGGGCCACGGCTAAAATCAGTGCCAAGCGTTATCTAGACCGGTCCACGGTCTCTCTCCTTAGGTCGACTCAGCCTTAAACAAGTTTCTGGTGCATTGTGAAAAAAACCTGCGCTGGGCATGTAAAGACGGCTAAGCATGGTGCTACCGACACCCCACCCCCTTGTATGCCATGTCCCAACAGATAACACCGTTTGCCCAAATAGTCTGTGATAGGCACAAGGGAGATCTTTGTCACCGTCTTTGTGTGCACACTGCATTTTAAAGTGCATACTATGCGTATATTGTTATCTGTTGCAATGCTCCATTGGAGTTAGAGACACATTTTATCTATGAATAGAAAATGATTATTATAATTGGATCGTTATTTAAAGTACCAATTTAATTGCTCTTGGGTTTTATAATTTAATTGAACACAAGGCCAGTTGAGTTGCATGATAACGGACCCACTTTACTCTTCACAGCATTTTTTTAGATTGAGTGAAGGTCACAGGCTAGCACACGTTTAGTGTAAATCTTGAATTGACTGTTACGTTGTTGGGAACAACAGACACGTACTGTAGCGACCAGAAGCCAAGCTCCCTTCACCAACCCGCACAAATCAGTATTGTGAAGTATTGTTAAATAACCCACATACCCCACATGGTGTAGTGATGTCCTCATGCCTGAATGGATTGATAAACGACTACATGCAGTGACGGTTTTAATTTTCATGTCTGTGTAAATCACTTTTGACCAATCCGAGCAAAATGAAGTGAATGCTGGTGTCTTCATTATTTTTCCTAAATCCATTTTTAATTATCGCCTTGGACTTGACTGAGCATTGTGAGCCTTGCATGGTTCATATGCTACCCGTGCTCTCATTAGTAGTTAAATGGTGCTGTGCAGCGAGACGTAATTAACAACGGTGATTGTGATGGCAGTGGTAGAATGTTCTTAATCCTTCCAACGAGCGTTCCCTGTAGCTGGCAACATATGCCAGTGAAATAATTCATGGGTCATTGTTATTATCATTTCTAACTTCATCATTATCATATTCAATTATTTTAAAATTATGCCATCAGAATCATCCAAAGAGATGAACAAATTTAGTAGTACGCGACTGTGTGCCAGCGGAGAGCCCTGGAAAAGGACATAACAGAGCTACTTTTTAGGTCACTTCCAACGGCTATTTCATCCACACTAGATGCACACCTTGTACGTGCCCTGCAAAGGGTGTTCATCAAATATCAATAAAAATATGGACGTTGCCTTCATCATCATCTTCATCATCATCCTCGTTATCTGTCAGGTCAGCGCTGCTTGTACGTACATGTGTTGAACTTCTATCGCAACGTACGTAGCCAACCGTGCTAATCGGAGGTGCCTGCCAACTGCCTACCATCACCTGGTATCAGTGTCGGCTGCATAAACTCTCCAGGGGTTGTGTGGAGAGATCGCCTTTTAAATGCCAGAGCAATGCTCGGAGGCAAGTAGGCGTAGAGACAGAGGCTGAGCACGACTTGATGAGGATGGGATACCAATTTCTTTGGTGATCCCCATGCAATGAACACTTTATTACACGTGTGGTTTCCAATTAAACCAGGCTGTGTTAACTGGAGCCGGATTCTTTTTTTTTTATGTCCCCCTAATTAGATGAATGCAGACAACTTTAAAGGCATGTTACTGTCGACGTGCGTAGTCTGTTGAACAATGTAGGTGCCGTGTAATAAGTTGGCACTGGGGCATTTAATGGATATTTAAATATCCATATCGTCCATCTCATCATCGCTATGACACATTCGGAATACACCTGATCGTGTTCCTCTTAATAGAGACGCTGTTATTACAGCGTGTGCCCACAAGCACTCGATTTTTATGGCTCGTGTCAAGAGTTTATCGCGAGAGAAACGTGGCGAGGAGGAGAAGTGCTTATGGGCATCACAAATGCGATTTACTTTATACTGCAGATATGTGTAGTTTTTACAAGTTATGACTTTCACTGCTCCACTTTTTACGTTACAAAGAGTGCGACCGCGTAACTTTTTCCTCTAATTCCCAGCAAGTATGGTTGCTGGAGCCCGTACGCATAAGACATATTCTGATTCATGCATTGGCGAATGTCCATTTTTAAATCCTTTATATTAAGTTCACTTGCTTGCTTGCTTACGACCGTGCAAATCTTTCGGTCGTTTTTTAACCCACTTCCCGTGATCCAATCGAGCTGACATTTTCCACACAGACTCGTTGTGCGTGACAATTAATGTTCGTGAAATTTTTTTTCCAAAATTTTACACTTTTTAGGACAAAAATATTATATTTAATTACCAATTGCTTAATGGTGCCATGCAATCATCTGACCCATAGGTGGCAGCCATCTCAAGCCAGAGGACGAGAGGACTCTAGCCGCCACGCATATAAAGGATTTGTTATCACTTTCTTTGGCAAAATCCTGTTGATGTCTCTGCATTACCAAACATAATTAAACAACCGCATGTGACCGATTGGCACGGTTAGGCTTTCATTCATCAATAGTGACAAAGAGTTGTAAATTATTTCATTCATTGTTATATATTAAGTATATCGTGCAATACAAGAGTCCGTCACTAGAATCAGCAATCCTATTCTGGTGTAAATTTGGTGAACGGCTCACAATTCTCGGGCACACTTCAAATCTTTAGCTCATGACGCTGCCAAAGCAGCGCGAGTGCCACTGTGGCTCGGCCACGCACGTGCGGTGGGTCTGAACGTGAAGGTTGCTTAAAGAAGAATGAAGGAACTTCTTGGTTTTTTTTTCCGCCCACTCCCCAACTCCATTTCCAGTTGATGGAGAACGGTTGATTAAATATCACCGCTCATTCAAAATGTATGCTGTCTCTGCGCCCTCCCGCGAGTGGTTAGAATTTTTGCTTTAATGTTTAATAAACGCGGCGCGGTGCCTCGGCCCGCTCATGAAAGTGTAGCGCCGTAAGGGCGAGAGCCAGCGGGCCACTGCAGAGCATCATTAAACACAATCAATCGCCAAATGCAGTGGAAACACACAAAAAAATCCTCGGTAGGAAATTATGAAACCGTGCTAATTTGAGCTACGAGTAAACCAACTTTGTAATGTTTTCCATAAAATGTACTCTTCATTGTTTATAAACGTAAATGTGAAAAAAAATTGCATTCATAATTTGGTGCCTACAAGGATTTCTAATGCATTTGTCGATTCTGATAAGCTGTTCTCCATTTAGAGATCTTAACAGGAATAGTTACGTCCAATTTCTTGTATTTATGGAAGGGTAAATCAATAAATGGGATTTCCACTGTATGCAGCAGATCTGTATGGAAAAAGCCTTAAAATCAATCGGGATGAAATTGTCCTTTAATAAGCAATGCTTTTGCACGGCTGCTCTTTGTAAGTCGTGATCATTATAAACAGAGTGCACTGTAATACATTACATTTAATTAAATAGTGCAATATAAAGCTGAGCTAGTTGTAAAATAAAATAAAATACTTTGATAGGAAACGGGGAACAAAACCTTTTATTGTTTGGACCTTATGTGGTGGGATTTGACGTGCAGTTGATTTCTCATTGTGTGCAGTAGGAGAGCTTACATGCTCAACACAAACCCTGTCAAGGGGTCGCCAAAGAAAGCTGCGTGCCCCGTAAGCACTTGGCACTTGTTATGATCAAATCAGTGTGGTTCAGCTTGCAAACCCCTGCCTGCGTCCACTGTTCAGATATCTTTCGATTTAAAGCTTTCGTGACTGCAGGGATTCATCTTCTTGGTTCTTTCGGTAAAGTCACGTAGAATGGAAATAATAAAATAATACAAGTATAACCCGTAGAAACAAAGTTTTTCACTATAAATCTTTTATATGCATGGCAGCTAGAGTCCTCTCGTCCTCTGGCTTGAGATGGCTGCCACCTATGGGTCAGATGATTGCCTGCCACCATTAAGCAATTGGTAATTAAATATTTAATTTGTTTTCCCTAAACAATGTAAAATTTTTGCATTTTTTTTCACGAACATTAATTGTCTCGCACAACGAGTCTGTGTGCAAAATGTCAGCTCGATTGGATCACGGGAAGTGGATTAAAAAACGACCAAAAGATTTGCACGGTCGTAAGCAAGCAAGCACGCAAGCACGCAAGCAAGCAAGCGAACTTAATATAAAGGATTTAAAAAATAAAACATAATAAAATAATTCTCACGACGTTTCAGCCACAACGCAAGCAGCCGTCCTCAGGTGAAGAACAGGTCTGTCGATAAGACAGCCGTCCTGTCTTATCGACAGACGGCTGCTTGCATTGTGGCCGAAACGTCGTGAGAATTATATTATTATGTTTTATTTTTATTATTATATTATTTCCATTCTACGTGACTTTACCGAAAGAACCAAGAAGATGTTCAAATATCATCGGCAAGCTCAGAGTACATTCGGAAGCCGTATTAGAGAGTGCATGCATCACCTCATACCCAGGTGGGTTGCTAAGTGGGCTTCTGTTTTCCTGCTATTCGATGCAAAGGGGTTCTCATCCTCTCTAACCAAGTGCTCATAACCCTTGACCCGTTCAGCGGTGGGTTGTTCGTGAAATATCGTTGTGCTGCCGGGGGTTTGGGGTGATGGCAGTGCTGCCCGTGGGAGATGCGGTGGAGCGCAGCGTGCCTGCAAAGCTGGGTCCTGCGTAACGACCGTGGAGATCTACTGCGTAGGTTTTCTCGGTTGCGCTGTGTTAGCTCCGCTGTGTTTTCTGGGGGTTGTACCTACCTCCTGTTCAGCACGATGTCCGACGTTGCACTGCACGTGCGGGGAGTTTCTTCAAAATACGCTTCAGTTCCTGAAGGAGCGCCCCCCCCGAAGCGCGTAGGCGCGAAACGTCGGACGTCGTGCCGATCAATCATGCGACACGACCCGAAAGCACTTGGGAGAGCTTAACCGTTGCTCTGAGTCGTGGGCGCCGCAGCCGGATTCCCCGGGAGTCTTGGTGAGCCCTGGACCCAAATGGCCTCGTGTGTGCTGGCTTTCCGAGAAAGCCGCGAAGAACCCCACTTCCCTGGCATGATCCCGATTTTAATGTCAAGAGGATCAAGAGAGAATCTGTTGCAGCTTCAGTTACCCAAACGGACGTTAATTACGGTTGGGGGAGGAAGTGCTGAAATGATAATGACAAGGCACCTTTTTAGCAGTCAGACCTTTTCAGATGTCTGGAAAGCATCCACGCACAGCTGTCGGCTGACATTCAAATGTAAATATGTGCACTTATTAAATTTTTCCTTCTCTCTTGGAATCCACGCTTATTCCCTAGCACTTGGAATGAACCTTCGTAGACTATCTGATGACACAAGTTTACTGCGACAAGGGAGTTTTCTCTCGAGTAATGTAACATAAGAGAGCCTAACGTATTATGCAAAATCATATTTACTTAACGTGGCATCAAAGAGGAGCGATGCTTACATTTTTCACTTTAGAAATTGTCGACGACACTTATTCAATTCAAATATGTTCTTAATTCGATGGTACCTAAATCACATGATGCATGTAAGCATCCGTTATTTCAAATGCATACATGGTTAGTTTGCCGCAGCTGTATACATTCTGTAGATTCATACCACTATGTGTTTTACATTGAACCATGGTGGGAACAAATCTATGAATGAAATCATGACAATTCATTGATTTGTGACATTCCTATGACCCGGCACATGCACGTGACCTCCCAGTTTGCCGTGGTCTTGTATTTTTTTCCTAAGTGGGGTCAATGTAGGACAGTAAATTAATGCCATTTTATCGAAAAAAAATGTTGTTTTTCCCACATTTAATCCAGATTTCTCAATCAGCATCATGTCACGAGATGAAAAATCGATTCAGATTGCTCACAGAAGCAGTACAATGCTTAATGTTCTGGGATGGTCCACGGAATCGGATTTCACAGAGCTACTTCTTGAGATGCCTTCAAGACCCAGCCAATAAAGTATGGGGCAGCATTTGCCTGCCGACTCTGCCATCTGAGAGTTATGTTCATTGTATGACAAACCAACATTTTAATTCTCAGAGCTGGATTTTAGCCAATTGAAGTGCATAACCAGATTTAATGTAATGTATTGTATACATTAATTGGTGGCTAACCATTAAAACCATTAACTCACTACCCTTGAATAAAAAATTAACCCGTAAAAACAAAGTTTTTCACTATAAATCCTTTATATGCGTGTTCAATGGGCCACAACCCAGCCCACATTGGTCTTTGAAACGGGCGGCTAGAGTCCTCTCGTCCTCTGGCTTGAGATGGCTGCCACCTATGGGTCAGATGATTGCCTGCCACCATTAAGCAATTGGTAATTAAATATAATTTTTTTTTACCTAAAAAGTGTAAAATTTTGGAAAAAAAATTTAACGAAAAGAAATTGTCACGCACAACGAGTCTGTGTGCAAAATGTCAGCTCGATTGGATCACGGGAAGTGGGTTAAAAAACGACCGAAAGATTTGCACGGTCGTAAGCGCGCAAGCAAGCAAGCAAGTGAACATAATATAAAGGATTTAAAAACAAGTTTAATCATAGACAGCTGAAACCCAGATTCGCACACAGGATCTTAGTGGTGCCAATTCACCACTCTGACCTCCGAGCCACCCAGCCACCTCCAATGTATCATGTATTAAAATGGTGCATGTGACGCCCCATGCTGTAACTTATGGCGTGAACAATGAATGGCATAGTTTGTGAATTACCATACACTGTTCCGCACGTGTGTGTGTGTCTGTGTGCGTAGGTTTACGTGGCGCTGCAGTTAGCACGCTGTGTTACAATCCGTCGACCTGAGTTCGATTCCCGCTAATTGCCAACATCAGTGACGATTTTCTGAACCGATCCTGTGCCTCCCCTAGGTCGACTCATCCTCAAATGAGTATCTAGTGCGATGTGTAAACATCGCCACTAGGGAGAAAGTAAATGAAACTATTTTAATTTTACTAGATAAGGCCCACTGAGCTATGTAACTCTTTTTTAGAAGCGACCAGGCCACAAATGATAGCTCAACGAAGTAGCTTATTTTATGGAAATGTATAGCAGCCAAATGCTCTAAGCGCATGTTTCTAAATGTGGAGGGAAAAACCAAAGAACCTGGAGAAAATCCATGCGGCCACGTTGAGAGAAACATGCAAACTCCAAATATACCGGCAAAGGTGGCCTGGCGTGGTGCTGGCCACCCACCCCCTCGTGTACTGTACCGGCCTTGTACACGTACAACACTAAAAGCACTTGCCCCAAGAGTCTGTTTAATCTATATGGGGGTTCTTTATCTTTGCAGGTGTACGTGCCCGGACGCTGCTCGGACATGCTTAAGTGGAAGCCTCCAAGCCAGAACTCGGTGGATTTCCGCCTCAAAATCAGCAAGATCGGCGGCGAGGGGTGAGTGGTGTCAATCGAAAGCTTAAAAGATGAAGGTAAAAGTGCAGCCCTCAAATGTTTTGCTCAGGCGGAATGGGCGTCCACAAAGAGGATGTTCAAGAGAGCCCCTTGTCGAAGGTGTTTGGCCTACTCTTCCACGTTAGCCGGATGTCTTGAAAGCGGTTCGAGTAACTTAACTTTTTTCCCAACCATACGCGACCTGCCAATGGACTCACGGTGCACCCATTAATTCTGCTGGGCGGACAGAAGCGTTGTGGGGGAGGGTGTAGGAAAACTTGATGATGGTTGCACCTGCCGGCCCCGAAATTGCAAGTCCAATGTGCCCATCATTATGCCATGGCAGCATCTGGGCATCCTGTGGAAAGCTTTAATTTAAAAGAAAGTGGAAGGTAAAGAACATAAAGAAAATAAATTGTCCCGTAAGGGGCGAACACTTTGCGTGCAGTGCTTCCTTGCCAATATGCATTCAATCAAGAACTGGCAGATTCCAAATAAACTTCTGTGTATATTATAAAAGAAGGTAGTAAATAGACAAGAGTTTGTCACCATCTAAACATAAAGTAACATTTCAGTTCCATCGGCCTTCTTGGGCCAGTGTTTTAAGTAAAGTTTGCTGAATCAGACAAACTGAAAGAGATACTTTTGGAAAACAGGTCCAGGAGGTCCAAAGACCGATGAGCTCGTGAGATTTTCTTTCATTTCTACAAGAGTGTGGTAAAGCAGACCTACACATAGATAACATGCAGTTCTTTGGTCGTTGAATTACAAGGATATAAGCAGTATAAATCACAATGTCAGTCTAGTATGCTTCTTATGGATTACTTGTGTCTCTCCTCGTTGTGATTCTGTGGCCATTGAGTTGTGTGCATACAGGACATCAGTTAAATATGCGTCGATGTTGTATGCACATGATTCATGTTGCACAATCAGTTCTGTGTGAGACATGGGCTGGCGACAGTGAGGATGGGTGTTGAGCCAATGTGTGTTCTGGGAACGGTGATGTATTGGTTTGCACACTACGCAAAAAGCCGGACATCTGACTAAGATTCACAGCCATGGCTAGCATCAGTGACTGCTAAACTGCTGCAGCACATCCCCTAGGTTAGCTTAGCCTTAATTGAGTACCCAGTGCCAGTGTGTTATGTAAACATTACCGCTGTGAGCATGTCGTGTTTGCGACATTACCCTTTTGTGCGCCATGTTGGCCTTCATGGGTGCTCACGGACAGCACTTGTCCCAACATTCTGTGAGGTTAACCTGTCAATATTTTGTCTTTGCGTGTGTGCGTGTGTTAAGCTTGCTGACGAAGACCATGGGGCTCTTGTATGTGGGCCAAAAGGACACTCCATTTGCACAGATGAAGGTATTCTAATGCCTGACACCATTATGCCAAGTAGAGTAGACTCTCAATAAACCGCGCGTGGTTTATCTGATTGGCAAATTAACTGCACGTCTGAGATTTTTTTACACGAATTTATAACTCATGGATTTTCCCTTCAGCCAAAATTAGTACAATAAAACAGTTATATCTTTTGGTTTAAAGATTTCGTGACTGCAGGGATTCATATTCTTGGTTCTTTCGGTAAAGTCACGTAGAAGAGAAATAATAAAATAATATTTTCTCTTTTTTATATTATTTTATTTCGGTAAAGTCACGTAGAAGGGAAGTAATAAAATAATATAAAAATATTATTTTATTAATATAAAAATATTATTTTATTATTTCCCTTCTACGTGACTTTACCGAAAGAACCAAGAATACAGTTATATATTGTTATTCTTGTAAATGTGTATTACAAGTCACATGCTTAAGCGAAAAAAATGTGTGCTCCGGTTAATCTGAAATCCACCTGATCACCTTTGCAGTACAGTAGTTGCATATCTTTACAGCAGTGGGCAGAGTTTGATTAATGTTGATTGGCGTGGCTCTGCTATCATCCACTTAGTGGGGGCAGTCTTCTGCACGAAAGCAGGAAAGTGTTATCACTGAGCACTGCATAAATCGCTCATTTCTTTGGTGTTTCAATTTCGATTTAAAGCTTTCGTGACTGCAGGGATTCATCTTCTTGGTTCTTTCGGTAAAGTCACGGTCACGTGACTTTACCGAAAGAACCAAGAAGATGAATCTTTGGTGTTTGTTTTAATGTATACCTATATTCGTAGTTTTTGGCAGAGATCCTTACTTCAGCTCTTCACAACTTACATAATTCTGAGTTTTGTGAAGAAAAATAAATGTGGAACACACGTTATTGATGTTGTGTGGGAGTTTTTATCAGTTAGTCCCGACGTGCCCTAGGCCTGTCTGCATGCAAATGCATTTTGCATTGTTGCATAATGCACATTCACCTATCAAAAAAGTGGGTAATTCTCACGCTATTAGTGTGAATATATGAGGTTTGTCTCTATGTGTGTGGGTGTTGCGACAGGTGCTGCAATGTGGTTGACGTATCATTCATGTCGTCCCCACAGCGTCTGTTTACAAAAGCGAGATATTTGACTGCTATTCACAAAGGAGCCAATGGCGTGAATGTGAATGAATGAACGGGGCCTTCTCGTATGTGATTGTTCCATCAGGGTGGAGGCTACAAAACGAGATTGGTTTGTCAGGCTCAATGCCTTTCGACATCCATTCCCGCGTTGTTGTTTTTTTGCACGTTTCTGTGTTTTCGGTCACTGCGATCGCCTTGCGTGAAATTCCTCCAGGCCACCAAGGAGCTCCGGCAGTATGACAACAAGATCATCGAGTGCAAGTTCCACAACAACGAGTGGCTGTTCATGAGGCAGCGCACTGACAAGAGCTTCCCAAACAGCTTCACCACCGCCATGGGTAAGTTCAAGTTAATTTATTAGGTATAGCCCTGTGAGCCATTCGGCTCTTGAATCGGGTGCAACCGCAACAAACAAAAAACAAAAACATGAACAAGAAAACATCTTAAAGTGACTATGTGCAAACAGAAAATCCAAGAAAAGACAGCAAAATATTGCAGAAAAACACACCGTACACCAACGCTGTGTGCAAATATCCCAGTGGGATGCAAGTCAAACAACAACAACCACAAGACAACTTAGATTAAGGCCATCAGTCTAACTCTGTACTATAACAAACAAACATGGCCAAACCAAAAAACTTTTCGAAAATCACCAAAATAAAGCCATAAAAGCAATGAAACAGTGGTCATAGGAACTGTGACCGAATTTTCACAATAAACGACGTTAACAACATGTACTACCAAACTCTGCAGCCATAGCTGGCTGCATGAGTAACTCCACAACAGTAGGAGCATCAGTCGGAGTATCAACATTTTTCAATGCACCTTTAAGATCAGCGCACAAAATCAAAACACAGATCATACTTTGCATACTTAAGCGGGGCATATTCAGCCAATCTGTGGACAAGCACCATGCACAGTATGTGTGTGTATGGTAGTGTAGTAGTTAGCGCGTTGCGCTACGAACCCGGCGATCCGAGTTCGATTCCCGTTCCCGGCCAACACCAGTGACGATATTTGAACCGGTCCTGGGCCTCCCCTAGGTCGACTCAGCCTTAAATATGTACCTGGTGCGGTGTGTAAACATCGCCACTGGGGAGACAAAGGCGGTCGGGCGTGGTGCTGGCCACCCACCCCCTCGTTCATGTACCGTTCCGGCCTTCATAGGTGCTCGCTAACAGCACTTGCCCCTACAGTCTGTTAGGCTATACGGGGGATCTTTGTCTTTGTAGCAGTTAGCGCGTTGCGCTACGAACCCGGCGACCCGAGTTCGATTCCCGTTCCCGGCCAACACCAGTGACGATATTTGAACCGGTAATGGGCCTCCCCTAGGTGGACTCGGCCTCAAGTGAATACCTAGTGTGGTGTGTAAACATTGCCACAAGGGAGACAAAGGCGGTCGGGCGTGGTACTGGCCACCCACCTCATGTACCGTTCCGGGCCTTCATAGGTGCTCGCTAACAGCACTTGCCTCAACAGTCTGTTAAGGCTATACGGGGGATCTTTGTCTTAAGGTTTGTCTGCTTGTGTGAATCTTGTATGGCATGTCTTTGTATGTGTGTGGGTATACTGTTTAGTATACATTTGTATATAGCGTATGTTGAGTGAGGAGTGGTTGTGTAGTGGTTAGCGCGTCACGCTATGAACTCAGTGATCCGAGTTCGATTCCCGCTCACGGCCAACACCAGGTAGAATTATCTGAACTGGTCCTGGGCCTCCCCTAGGTAAACTCGGCCTCAAATGAATATCTAAAAGCATTCTCACTTACAAGATAATCAATAGTGTCATCGTGAGGAATATAAGTAACAAAATAAATAAACATAAAACACGCCTCCATCCCATATCTGTCCATCCACATAAAAAAAACAAGTACATTTGTCCACCATCAGCCACATGGCCTTCTGGGATTGAATTTGTTTTACTAGCATTGATTTTAATACAACTCTGCGTAACAATCTACGCGCATTTGCTGCTGCGCATATACACAATTGCACAATCCTCTACCGATGTATTTGCATAGTGAAGGTTAGTCTGCACGTTCAAAACCCACTCTCAGTGAGACGCTCAAAGCATGTATGCAACGCCTCCTGCTGTAACGGGCTGACTCGGGCCTGCCCTTCCCACCAGGAGGTAGGTGTGAAGGGGTCTAACGTGTGCATTAGCAAGAGCATTCATACATAACCCGCGTACGTGACGCTACACCGCCACTGTTTTGAGCATGTGGGACACTAGACAGTGCGTTAATTCGCTTTATCTCCACTTTACCCAAGCTTCATATTGTTGTGTTTACTCTAATTAGTATCACTCATTAGGTGTTTATCAGCTCCTAACCCCCACCGCATGGCCCTCTGCAGCTGACTGCAAGGCCAGGGTAAGACTTGAAGGGTAATTGGGGCGATGTTTGCCGTAGGATGGTGTCCTTTTGATTTGTATTTCCTGGCACGTTTTTGGCTCCCCGGTGGATTCTTATGCACAATTAAATTCGTTCAGCACGTCACATCGAGGCAAATGTGTTTTAATGACTCAGTTCCACTTGAGGTTAAAGTAAATAGATGTCGTAAAATTTTGCATGTGTGTGCATGCATGCATGCATGAATACATTCAAACACTCCTTATTAACGGCATTGGCCACACATCCCAATGCAGAAGCTTCCTGAAAAAAAGACTTGAGATTTAGTGAGACTTTCCTATGGAAACAAATGTTATAACCTGGTGAGAACACGTTGCAACTGTATATATCTTTTGATTTTAAGCTTTCGTGACTGCAGGGATTCATATTCTTGGTTCTTTCGGTAAAGTCACGTAGAAGGGAAATAATAAAATAATATTTTGTATTGTTTTATATTTATATTATTTTATTATTTCCGTTTCTGCGTGACTTTACCGAAAGAACCAAGAACATGTATATATCTTTTTTTGATTAATTATGTATACTGCATCAAACTCAGATGTGCCTGGGTTGAACCTAGATCCTGCTTCGCTGGGCAAGCACCATGCATGCCAGGTTGTAATAGGTGGCTTCAGGGTTACATAAGTGGGCAGTAGGGGGCAGTGCAGCAAAAATCTGTGGTCACGTGGATTTTTCTCCAGGTCTTCCTGTTTTTCTCTCCGCAACATGCTTTTAGAGTATTTGGCTGCTATAAATGTCCACATGATAAGCCACTATGTTGAGCTATCATTTGTGGCCAGGTCGCTTCTGAAAAAGATATATATATATATATATAGCTCAGTGGGCCTTATCTGGTAAAATAAAATAAAAAATAGTTTAGTTTTAGTTTCTATACTCCCACTTTAACCATCCCATGCTGACCAGGATGGTGAAGTATGGTTAAATGCCCTTCCATGACTCGCATGGTGTGGGGAGGCCCTTTCCTCATCCAGCAGCAGATAGATGAAAACGGCCGTATATGTATGTGCTGTATAAGAGCCATGTTACAGTTCTTTGAGAAGAAGGCCTACATTGATTTTTCAACAGCACCGCATCTCTCATTGTTCATTTGTACGGCCATTGTCTATTTGGGTAAGAAGCAAATTATAAACAATGGAGATCATGGTCTTGCTGGCAGGGTAAATCGTGCTCCATTCTTCGCTTTGTCCACCACCCGGGCCTCATCTCACAGTCACCCCAATCGTAGGTTATCTCCGTCACCGCACAGCACCAATCTATTAAAATGTGAATGCTTAGAAGAGAAATACAAGGTTTGAGAGGGTCATGATTTCAATTAAAAACACTTTTTTTTCAAACTCTCATTTTGTATTAAAACCCTCGGTTTGTTAGGTGTCGTGTTAAACGAAATCAATGCATGGTAATTTCGGCGAAGCTTGTAATGCACATGAGAAGATGGAGAAACTTGCAGCATGAAGGATTAGAGTTTTCTTAAGAATATTACCGGTTATATATTAAGCCTAATCTTTTGCTCACTCTTTTCCCCACTTTGCATTTGCGAACTTTTAATTAAGAATCTTTAAAAACGGTGCTTGGAACAGGACTAATTAATGAAGTGTTTTGGTTATCTTTATCATAATACCGTTATTTACAATTAAACACATTTTTTTCAAGGCAAATCTTTCCGTGCAATTACACTTTCAAACAAGGCCATGCGGGAGCTCACAGCTTTCATTGTATGAGATGTAGCTGATAGTGTTACAAGAGTGGATATCATGAAAGCAATTAGTTTTTCGAGCTATATGGAATTTTTATCGGTATCTTGTTGTGTTGCTTGAGTTTTCTCGAGCTATAACAATTTCCTCTGACACTTCACTGAAAATATTCCAATTCAAGGCCCTCTTGAAAAATAATTTTGAGGAACAGTAGGGCTTTCCCACTTAACAATAGCGTTTTGTATTGACTCATAATTAGTTTTATTGGGTTAGATCATGTTGGTATAAACATTGAACTGCATATGAAAGCCTGCATATGATATTAGCTTATGGTATTTTAACTTCAGTGATTATCCACAGTTATAGTTTTAGTATATGTATTTTTCAGTGAACCTCCATCGTGTGCACAACCAGAAGTCCTTCCACAGTAAAACTTGGATTCAAATTAAATTTGCGCACTTTTTCTCTCACAACTTTAAACAATTCATGTTGATAACTTTTTTTGTTACAGTTAAAAATAAATACATTTAAGCAAATCTGTTCAGAAGTCGATAGCTAAAGTAGACTCACAGCATAGGGGAATACATCAATAAATATGTACATCATCTTCTTGGTTCTTTCGGTAAAGTCACGTAGAAGGGAAGTAATAAAATAATAAAAATAATAAAAATAAAACATAATAAAATTATTCTCACGACGTTTCGGCCACAACGCAAGCAGCCGTCCTCAGGTGAAAACCAGGTCCGTCGAGGCGACAGAGTCTGAATGAAACAGCACACGAGCTTGGAGCATATATATAAGCTGGGTGCATCACCTGAGGACGGCTGCTTGCGTTGTGGCCGAAACGTCGTGAGAATAATTTTATTATGTTTTATTTTTATTATTTTTATTATTTTATTACTTCCCTTCTACGTGACTTTACCGAAAGAACCAAGAAGATGAATCCCTGCAGTCACGAAAGCTTTAAATCAAAATTTATGTACATCATATTAATTATTCCTTGTATTGCTGCCATCTCATTCATATTCATGAGCGTGCGTGACATCCTCCGTGCTGAGGGGTGTCGAGCAAGACACATTGACGTCGCAGAGTGATGTCACTTTCATGCGACAACCATGACGTCATATGCACGTGTGCAGTCACACACTTCGTCATGAATGTAAATCACTTCACGTATGTGAGGAGCGAAAAGTGGAGGTATGGACAACAGAACAAAAATGAATAAGCAAATTATACAAAAGCAAATCCGGTAGCTCCAACCAGGACTTTGGCAGGCAAGAGTAAAGGTATTTATTTACATTGGAATAAACTTCAGGAGTTGGTCTAAAGTGGCCGCTTTATTTAATCACATATTTACGTATATACATACAACAACAGCCACTGTTGTATGTATGTAGTGTATGTTGAACTTCCGCAAAAAGGTATCCAACCGTGCTAATCGGATGTGCGGGGGAAGGACAAACTAAACACAAGAAGCAGTTCTAACGAAATGAGTTTTCAATCTAGATGATTTAAAAGCGCACGGCTCCAGTGGCTTCCTGATATCAGAAGCAAGGGCATTCCAGACGGCCGCAGAAGCGCTTAAATGCGATGAGTTTCTGCTGCCACCGGCGGCGGTTAACCGGCCCTTACTTTCATCCATCACATGTGATCCGCCACATGAACGTGATAACTGGACGCACGCTCCGCTGAGTGCTGCCACGCTTCTTCCAGCCGCCTGCTATCGGACCCAATCTCGTTTCCACATGATGTGGCACAACCTCACGGCCCCGAGGCTCCCCTCCCTCATGCCACATTTGCTCCTGCATTTCTCTCGAGCGCAGCCACCGTGTCCACATTGACCGCTGATTGTGGGCGCTACGTCCGCTGAACGATTGCTTGTACAAACCCAGCCCGGCCCACGCCACCTAAAACCCAATGTTCATTTCACTCTGGTCATTTAAAATAAATTGTAGGTTTCCTTTGTTTTAGGGGGGCGGTTCAGTAAACACATTTCCCACTTCGTCTTCCTGAGAAACTCTTCAGCTGCGGCAGACGGGCAGCTGTGAGAATCGAGAATCGGTGTGCTTTTGGAGCCGAGAATGATTGAAACAGGTGCACATATCTATTTGTGCTGGGTGACAATGGTGGGCTTGTTACTGGATTCTATTACATATCACAAGGTATTGCCTATCGGTCCCTTGTCCCTCACCCCGGCACAGGGAATACCCTGGTATTTATCAAATATAAGGGATACCTAGTTTTGAGCTATATAGGACATTGGGCAATACATTGAGCACTTGTCTTGTGAAATGGGAAATTCCAGGGTAATGTGACCCCGTTATTGACAGGCATTGTAAAGGCATAGCCATTAGTGTAACAGCACTTCTGGCACCGGTAACTTTTTCACAATGTTCATTAGTGAACTAATGGCTGAACGCTCACCACGTACAAGGAGATCGAAATGTAAACGTAGAACCTCGAAGAAACGGGCTCTGAATTCTGACACCGGCGTTAGCCTCCTGAGCCACCCTGCCCCAGGTCTTGAACTCGGCTTCCTAGCCCAGCTTGCGAAGCAGACAACTTAATTCTTGAGCCCCATACAGCACTCGGCCTCCTGTTTAAAGTGACGACTAAATTGTAATGAGCGGTGCTAGGTCACTGAAATGTGACACTCGCAGTTTAATGTGCTGGCCACACAGTAGACCTAATGGATCAGTCCTTGTGCTGTAGGTGCATTGCGTTAAAGGTGAGTTGGGTTATAGATTATCTGCGTGGACGTCGTGTTAGGGGGAAAAACAGACTTGCTTCGACGGCCTTAATGGGCAAAGGCGACAACGTTAATGGGCACTTTAACTGTCTGTACACGTGTAGATTTAATTAACGATGCTGCATTAATACGGAACAAGTGTAGTTGACTGTAAAATCAAGTCTGTGGAAAAAGTGGTTTAGTGGGGAGGGGGGGGGGTTTTCTTCTGAAATTTAAATAATTATATTTCCTGCCATTTTGGAGTGTGCTGGTATAGTGTCTGCGTGGTTACAGGGCGAGTGCCTCTCTTTGGCTGCTAGTCCTCGGGGTTCCATGTCAGTACTGTCCCTGATGCCGACTTATCTTCGCGTGTGCACGGAGAGTCACACTCCTCTAACCCCAGCCTATGAGCCAGATTTGTTCTTGAGGCATGATGCATCGCTTGAATTGGCGAAGCGTCTCTGACTTGTAGTTGTGCCGTTGACTTGGACCCAAGCTATGCGGATCTATAGGCCGTGTTGGAGCTGTGGAAGGAAAGTGACTTATCGTCTTGGTTCTTTCGGTAAAGTCACATAGAATGGAAATAATAAAATAATGAAAATAAAACATAATAAAATAATTCTCACGACGTTTCGGCCACAACGCAAGCAGCCGTCCTGCGTTGTGGCCGAAACGTCGTGAGAATTATTTTATTATGTTTTATTTGTATTACTTTATTATTTCCCTTCTACGTGACTTTACCGAAAAAACCAAGAAGATGAATCCCTGCAGTCACGAAAGCTTTAAATCGAAAGTGACTTCCTTCAGGCGAGTTGGTTGCATGCCTGGGGGCTTAAGGGCTGAAGAGGCTCCCAAGGAAAGTAGCGTGTAAGCGCATAGCTGGCTTCTCCCTTTTGTGTCTTATGAATAAAGATGCCACGGGAGGCTAAACTAAAAGCACACATAGAAGGAGCCCCACTGATACCGTATTACAAAGAGCCAAGTCACTCGACAGGAGGGCTGTGGAGGATGGCCCTGAATTGCAGACACAGCAGCCGCCGGTAATGTCACCGTGCCCCAGACGTCGTACGTGACCCAATCTGTCTGGCCCTCCTAGGCGTGTGCGAGAGCATCCAGTTTCCCGTCACCAAGGAGATCCTTCTGGACCACATTGACAAGCATCGGTACAAATCAACCGGCGCTTCTGCCGCACCCGCTGCACCGCACCATCATCACCAGCAGCAGCACCAGCAGCAGCACCAGCAGCATCACCAACAGCACCAGCAGCAGCAACCGCCAGCCCAGCAACCACCGACAGTCTCGTCAAACGCCAACCACGCCGCCGGCGTGAAACGCCCGAGCGCGGACGAAGAATCCCTGATGCCGCCGCCCCCCGCCAAGCGGTGATCGGGCGCGAGCATCTGGGCCATTGGCACCATCGCTTCAGGCGCTGCCCAACGCGCCGGGGCTATGTTGACGAAGGGGTCCTGCGGAGATGAAGGCTGCGCGAGCAAGGAAGGGAGGGAGTGTCGACTCGTGCGGCAGACCACATGACCCCCCACCACCGCAGCCTCCGCATGCCCTTTTTGCAAGTTTTGGTTGTTTATGTTTTATTTATGCTCATCTCCTCACTGTTACAAGACACATCTGTCGTCCGCGAATGCATCACAAATGGCTAGACCATATGAATCTTAATTTGTAAGTGTACGCAAGGCAATCTGGCCAGGGATTCATGCCTTAAATGTCAAGATATTCAGATCAGTGTATTAACGGTTTCACCCGGGGTTTTCCTGCACAGGAAGATGAACTAAGTGGGGGACGAGGTGAGCCTCCGAGGTTTCCCTCCGTTGTGTCTCGTGCAGCGCTTCCCTTCCCGGTGGCCGGCTCACTCGTTAGAGGCCCTCATCGAAGCGGAAAAGAAAGCAACCAACGTGTACAAATGCTTCCCTCTGCATTGATCCAGTGCTATCGTGTACAGATACTTTAGAGCCTGGCAGAAGGCTATGATGGAACTAAATAATTTCTAATGGGGGATAGAGCGAGACCCAAAGGCAATTCGTGTACGGGGACCGTCTGCTAGCCGCAGGCTTGTTTGTCCCATCATGTTAATTGCTGCTCCGTTACCCGCACGATGTCCTCGGCAGCATTGAAATGCACACCACGTCCGCGCCTGTCTGCGCTGAGCATACAGACTTACTGCATGAGGACCTACGGAGAGGTGTGTGTATGCGTGCGTTTCTGTCTGTGTCCCTGTATCTGTGTGTGCAAGTTTTTAGATTTATAAAGATAACAAGAACGTACGTGGTTTTTTTTTTTCGCCCGGTGCGTGTGTTGGGCAGGTAGCGCCCTAATGCTTGGTTTACATAGTTGCAGGGCCAATGGCACTTGCTGTGTTTTATTTGCAAAAACCCACAGTTCCAAACCCAGAGGCCACAACACTCCATGCATGACCAGCCTGCCCCAACACATGAAACAATCAATGTTTGTCTGCAGAAGTGCATTTCAGAAGCTCTCAACTCTGCTGCATAGGGATGCAGCTCACTCCAGCCTTCCCGTGTCAGCTCTCCTCACCCACACAGGTTTAAATTATGTAACGTGCATTAGATTCTATTGTATCTGTTGATGGAAAAAAAAACGGTGTATGAGCAAGATGCCACTTCAAAAGACCCTGGCTCTTTGCTCTGCACTCAAGCCCTCAAATTGGGCAGCAGCACACTGAGTAAGCCCGAGGCTCCATGAGCCAAATTCCGAGTAGTGAAACTCTAATGGACTTAAAATGATGCAGCTCAGCATGGTTAATCAAAATCAACAGATAATAGCTTCCCATTTAATTTATTTTGATTGGGAGTGGGGAGGTGGAGAATGTACTCTTTGGCAGCGTCAGCCTTTGAGTGTTAATTTGTAAATGTTCATTATCTGCGGTTTACGTTGCGTGGCTAACTGGTCTTGTGGGGCAATCCTCTGCCTAAGCTCACCATCTATGCTGCACCGGGAAGGGCCAAGGACACTTGGGGATGCTCAGATTTTGTGACTTTACTATCAGAGTACAAAATCAAAGAAAAATAAACAGTGTAATCACGTTTTCATTTTTGCAGAGGCCGATGTATTGCCGCGTCCGGGATTTGGGAAATGAATGATTTGTTTTGTGGGAGTAAATCAAGGACATTGTCCTTGTTGAACAAAGTTCGAAAGTGGTAAACAAACGGCACACTTCCCGTGCACCGCAAAAGTAGTTGGTAAAGGGCAAATACGCATCACTGCAATTGCTTGCTCAAGCCACTGCTGGCAGAAGAGCCTCAAACTAGCGGTAGCTCTGGAGAGCCCCTCTACATGACCTCTGGCCTACTCTTTCACGCTGGCCAGACATCTCAGAAGAAGTGGTGGTATACACACTTTACCCCACCACACGCCAACCTGCTGATCGACTGTTGTGCCCATTAATACTGCTGAGTTGGACTAGGTGGGGGGGGGGGGGGAGATGGTAACTACCTCGCCTATTATGCAGGAGGTTGTGGCTTCAATCCCAAATCTGACACCAGTATATATGGAGTTTACATGTCTCTCTCCCCGTGATCGCGTGGATTTTTCTCCGGGTCCTGCAATTTTTCCCTACACATTTAGAAACGTGTTTAAAGTGTTTGGATGCTATACATTTCCACGTAATGAGCCACTTCGTTGAGCTATCATTTGTGGCCAGGTCGCTTCTGAAAAAGAGAAATATAGCTCAGTGGGCCTGACCTGGTAAAAGAAAAATAGATTAGTTTGAGTTTTAAAAAAAAAATCCATTATCTCACCTACCATGACCTGAGATCGAACTGGTGACCTCTGAAAATTCCAGTGTGCTATAAACCATTACCACCACAGCAGCAATTCCATTTTAATTGGGTAAATGTATATATTAATATGTAAATAATTGATGCCTCATTTCCAAGACCATTGGGAACTATGCTGACCCAGTGCTTGTCAGCCAGCCAGTCATGGGGAGTCTTTGCTCCCTTGACACCAGCTCATGCTGGTTTCCAATTAATACCAGAACTGTGACCCTGAGCTCTCTTCTCACACCAGACCGCATGCGTAGAGCTGGGTAGACCACCAGAACAAGTCATGACACACAGGGTCAAGGCAGAAGTAATACACGCGTATGATGTAATTAAAGTCACTTGGTTCGACCCCCTTGCCGTGGTAGTGTTAAATCTACATGGTAGAAAATCACATCCCTGCACCTCCGATTAGCACGGTTGGCTACGTACGGTGCAAAAGATCTTCAACATACAAAACAGAAGTTAACTATTCTACACCAGCGCACGTTGGCATTTTAAATAAACTTTGTTTCAAAAGGAACGTATGTTTAAGATCACTTCATAACCACCGCTGTTTGGCCTAAGAGGGTAGGATGTTGAAGGAAAGGGTAAGAAGGACTATGTCAACAGAGTTGAACGGCTCTTCGTAGGTTGAGGACAAAACTCGGTCCTGGTGCTACTGTTGATTTGCTCCTGGGCTGGTACAGCCTTGTGGGCAAGGAACAGAGGCATTAGAATGGAAGGGATTTACATTCGGAGAGAGGCTCTCTGACTTCAGTGTTGCCGCCTGCCCACGCTCCATATATCTATGATTCCCAGTATTCTCCATTTAAATGTAAATTAGGTTGTGTGATGAATTGGCACGCAACTGATGATTGTTAAAGACGGAAATTTGCATGAACCCCGGGGTGTCAGAGCAATGGGTTTTGGGAAAGTTGCAGGCAAATTGTCTGGTTGGTGAGTTAGACATTTGGGCATGCAGTTACTTCGGGACAATATGTATATATTTTTTTACAATTTAGTGCTAAAATGAAACTGGGGATTTGAACGATGGTTAAAACGTATCTCTGGTGTGTTTCGTGTTGTACCGCCTGTTGTCCGACGTGATGTCCGACGTTTTGCTCCACGTTTCTGGGAGCGAACCGTCGGACATCATCCCGAACAACACGCGGAACAACCCAAAAATACACAGGAGAGCTATATGGAACAACTACAAAAAAAAACACCGACACTGTAGCGATGCTTACAATGACAATGGATGAAAATTCACAGCCTCATCATCTGCCCTTCTGCTTGGCACAGTGTGTACTGAATGGATTTGGAATTCTAATTTGAGAGCCATCACCACGATGCCGGACAACGAAAGCTTCCAGCAGGTTTTACTTGCAGCTACGGGGGTGTGGAACTTAACGTTTGAGTTTTACACTTGGGGAAAAATAATATATCCATGCCCCGCTCCCCCTGCTGTCTTTTTCACAAGCCATCCCCGCGGCGAAAATCAGTTTTCGTCACGGGCGAGTTGCCACAATTAAAAATGTGACCGTGCGAATTTTGAGCCGTGTGGCTATTTCCTATAGATTGTTTAATCTGCTCGAGTGTGGTTTTTTTTGGCAGCAGGTATTTTCTTTCGTGGCTGTCATTTAGCAACTGAAATTGTATGATCGTGGCGTATTGAATCTTTATTCCATGTCCTCAAGGTGCAAATGTTTGCATTTGTATTGACTTAACACTGAGATGTGCTGTTGCGTGTTTTAATAAACGTTTAAAATGCCCTTCCGTCCCCGAGTACACGATCCACAGTCCTTAACTTTAGTTCCCATCATACTTGGCATTGTCTTGTGAAGCGTTGGAACGTTACGCTTTGTTTTTATGTTTCTAATATGGCTATAGCCTTCATCTGTTAAAATGGGCCCTCGATCTTAGATGCACTTTGTTAGAATAATACATTATTAATATGCACAAATAAATAACTGCAGTCCAGAATGTGTTTTTATAGCTTTTTTTCGGCCTGAAATTTGGTATTTTTCGTATTTGCTGTTTTGACATTTAGTCGTTACTGTTGGGACATTTAATATTTGCATGACTTTTCGTGTTTGGTTATTTCATTGTTGGTAAGCATTAAAATGCAGTACAATTTGGATTTACTGTGTGTTTCATTATGATTTCAGACGCCAATCTTCGCATTTCAGAAAGAAGGAAAACAAACTTTAAAACTGGGCTTTTCATTAATGTAATGCCTGACTAATGGAATAGCATGAACATAGTTGTGAAAAAAAGTCTCACCTTTGTTCCCATGTATGCCGCTGGACGAGTGGTGATGGGCGGGGCTTAAGAACGGCATTATCACCTGCATCACGCTGGGCGTGGCTTGTCAGGGGTTGCCTGCCTTCAGAAGGCAGGATGTCTGAGTGGTTTTGCAAGAGTCCGAGTAATTGGCCACAAAATAAGTAGTCTTATAATTTCTAGCCAATACATCATTGTCTTCATCGACCATTTGTCTCAGCTCAAAACAACCTATTAAACTAATCATGTATGCATTTTAAAATGTCTATCATGGTGTGTGTGTGTGTTGTTGATAATTGCGTTTTTTTATCTTAAAACTATGGGATTTTTATTTACAAAGCCTTCCAGCTATCTTACAATCAGGCCACATTTGAGCACATCTTATGCCAGATTTCTACATATATTTAAACATATAGCGTCGCACAGTTATAAAGGGAACCCCAGAGTGGTTTAAGTCAATAGCCTGCTCTGGTCGGAATGTGTCTCAGACCTCAAAGAGGTGTCATTCAAGCATGTGGAGGTGTGAGCATGTGGGTTTGATGTTAAGAACCGCTGCTCGATTTATCCCCTCAATAAGGTGACGCAACTTGATGGCTTCTCTGCTCACATCCTCTGCGCTTCTGTCGTGTTCTTGTTAACTGCAAAACGGTGATCAAACAGATGCACAACGCTAAAGACAGCCCATGAATCGACTCAAAACCGCCGAGGCAGGCTCTGTTCGTAAGCACACGTTCAGATTGGCATTGTATCGGATGCGCCGGCGGTGGTGGTGGTGTCAGTACCAATGCACACGCTGCCACTTTTTAAATCCTTTATATTAAGTTTGCTTGCTTGCGTGCTTGCGTGATTGCTTGCTTGCTTACGACCGTGCAAATCTTTCGGTGGTTTTTTAACCCACTTCCCGTGATCCAATCGAGCTGACATTTTCCACACAGACTCGTTGTGCGTGACAATTAATTTTCGTGAAATTTTTTTCCCAAAATTTTACACTGTTTAGGGAATTTTTTTAAGTATTTAATTACCAATTGCTTAATGCTGGCAGACAATCATCTGACCCATAGGTGGCATCCATCTCAAGCCAGAGGACGAGAGGACTGTAGCCGCCACGCATATAAAGGATTTAGAGTGAAAAACTTTGTTTTTACGGGTTAATTTATTATCACCCACGTGCCGATGTTGACTTTGCACCAGGTACTCGGATGAGAGGAGAGGACCGTGCTTGTTTCGTTCTACCAGCGCCAGTGTTTAGGAATGTGACTATGCCTCCACTATCTCCCCAAAACGTCACCTCTGCAATGTGTGTGGATTCATCTTTGAATAACTCACTGTGCAGCCTTGCATTTGCTTGCTCACGCCACTGCTGGCAGAAGGGCCTCTACCCGAGAGGCCCTCTATGGGGTATTTGGCCTACTCTTCCACTGTGACCAGACACCTAGGAAGAGAGATGTGAATGCCCACAATTAATATGAATTGTCATGATTCATTTCGTTCACGTTTGTATTGTCTGCCTTGTATGGTCTGTTGTTTGCTGTGTCACGTGCATTCCGTTCGTCTGCGATAGTCAAAGGTATACATTTGCGTATAAAATGAATACATCAGAAATAATGCATTCGTGCACGCAGGGGGTTGGTGTATCGTAAAGCTTTAGCATCTCTTTGATGCATCAATCGCTACGCGCTCATAGACGATGTGCACTGCCAGGAATAGAAAGAAGCTCGTTGTCCAGCTTTTGTAGCGAGCTTCCACCAACAAGCTTTTCATTTTCCCCGACACGCATGCTCGCACGCATTTCACGGCACAACATTTGCATGTTCGTCTCATCATCGGCGGGGCGTTAGCCGTACACCGTCTTCCAGCAGTGAGCCAATACAAACGTTGACATCATGGGACCTCCATTGCCAGGATATCAAAATACAACAATAGGTTTTACCGTTTCTGGCAATACAACAGGTTTTATACTGGCAAAGGAGGTCCCATGATGTAGCTGCTCACCCAGAGCTCTCCGTGTCCTGATCGTGGAATTGTCTTTGTGCTGTTCGCCTTGTGGCGTCCTCTGGCCTAACACCGTGTAAGACTAGGCTCTAAAGAAAGCTGTCTCTGGTGTGAACCAATCAGTTTCAAAGACAATGCATATACTGTCAGCGCATGTTTTTTGTTTGCATGTTCACCACAAGTGTATGTGGTTAATGCAGACATGATTCCTTGCAAAAGGTTTCTGTTTGGTGTTTGAACATCTTAACACAACTGTTTCATTGCCAGAAAGGTTAAAGCCTATTCTCATAATAAGTCATATTTAAAAATACTTTTTTTTAAACACGCTTTAATGAAATGTACCCGACTCGTAATGGCAGAATTCCACGACTCCAGGAAGTGGCCCGAAGCTTGCCATAACGGTCGGGACCGTGATGATTTACATCCAACGTCAGTTGAGCGTGGACAATTAGACCCAAGCTGAAACATAACATAAAAATTAATATTTAATTTTTTTATAGAATATAGTATTGTCATCAGTATGACATAAGTATACCAAGTTCGCAGTCGATAGCACATTGAGAAGTGGGTTAAAATTGAGTTGCAAGATTTGAGGATACGACAACAACAACAGACAGAGTGGGTTAAATAAAAGCGTGTAATAAAAAAACGTTGACGCCCGCTCCGCGGATTGCAACGTCTTTGGCATGCGTCGAACAAAGGCTCCAGCTGGACTCCCTAAAAATAAATAAAAATAAATACAAATCAATGCAAGATCCTCGGCAGCGCAGCGCGCGACATTCCCGAGAAGGGGGTCAATGTTTTTTGGTTGAGCGCAATCTGAAGCAAGGGGCTGAAGCAGGGTACCGCTTTGAGCCTGCGTGTGTCGCGACACCAAGGCTGATCAATTTGGAAGAGACTCTCGCGCGCGCGTGTGTGTGTGTGTGTGCTCGTGTGTGTGCTCGTGTGTGCTCGTGTGTGGGGGGAGCGGTTGTGTAGTAGCGTTTAACACGTAGGCTTTCGCGACCAATATTATTCATAATCAACGTTTTTGGGTTTAGATCGCGTTATTTATAAATGTGTCGTAACCCTCCACCACCCGACACGGCCAATCAGTAAAAAAGTGTCACGTTGACAAAAGACAAATAGTTCACTGCTTTAGCCCACCGGTGTGTTGAAGCCATAACATTTACAATTTGAGTACGACGTTTCGCTGGTAATTGCATCCAGCATCATCGGGCAATTCGCCAGCGAAACGTCGTACTCAAATTGTAAATGTTGTGGCTTCAACACACCGGTGGGCTAAAGCAGTGAACTATTTGTCTTTTGTCAACGTGACACTTTTTTACTGATTGGCCGTGTCGGGTGGTGGAGGGTTACGACACATTTATAAATAACGCGATCTAAACCCAAAAAACGTTGATTATGTAGTAGTAGCGGTTAGCGCGCCGTGCTCACGGCCACGAACACCAGTGATAATTATTATCTGAACCAAGGCCGTAGCCATGGAGTCAACATTGGGGGGGGGGGGGACCAGATCTTCTAGGTCTGGGGGTCCCAACCCAAAAAAATATCTAAATTTGCAAAGTAATTTTCTGCTTAAAATATATAAAAATTCACTAACACATGGGATGGACTTTTTAGTTATTTTTTACAATAATGTCTAATAGTGTATTGTATTACATTGCTCTGATTTTACCTTTTTTGCATTTCTTGCTTCATTGTATTGAGTGTTTGAGATTAGGGATTAATAAAGTACAACCATAACCACAATCATATAAACAGAAATATATGCATTGATTTATTTGAAGACAAGTCCAGATATTATGGCCAAGGTTTAGCAAATTGTTGTTTTTTATTTACATAGCATAGCATGTATAACTTTTTAAAATATTTTTTATCGCAATATATTGGGGGGGGGGGGGGGAGGGAGACATTTTGAGCATATTTGAATATTGGGGGGCCTTGATCTGAACCGATCCTGGGTTTCCCCTTGGTCGACTCAGCCTCAAATGAGGACCTGGGTGCGGTGTGTAACCATCGCCACTTAGGGAGACAAAGGCGGCCGGGCGTGGTGTTGGCCACCCACCCCCCCTCGTGTGCCATGCCGGCCTTCATAGGCCTGCTCGCTAATAGCACTTGCCCCAACAGTCGGTTACGGCTATACGGGGGATCTTTGTATTGTATTTGGAGAGTGGTAGTGTAGTGATTAGCTTACTGCGCTACTCGGGCCCCGAGTTTGATTCCCACTCACAACCAGTAACAGTGGCAAAATATTTTAAACCTATACCCGGGCCTCCCCGAGGTCAACTCGGTTACTCAAATGAGTACCTGGTGCCATTGTGTAAACATCTCCGCTTGGGAAGACAAATGTAGCAGCGGGCATGGTGCTGACCAACCACCTCCTCGTGTGCCGTGCTGACCTTTTGCTCACGGACAGCACTTGCCCCACGAGTCTGTTCAGGCTATACGGGGGACCTTTGTGTTGTGTGCGTTGTGGTCTTGTGCGCACGAGCAGGATTCGGAATTGTGTGTGCCGCCAGCCGTGTTGCCATTCGTCACCTTACAGATAGAAACGAGTGAGATACAAATGTATTGAAAAGCATCACTTGCGCCCGTGCTGAATAGAACTACTAAATTGTTTAGTGTATGTATTTTGTACAGGTAACAAGGCTCATTTTTAACAGTGACAACCGATGTGTCGATGTATGTCAAGACAACTTTTGGTCGGTGTTAAATCTACATACGGGCGCGGTAGTATAACGACGCTAACTACGGCTCTATATCCAGCGCGTTGATTTATTACAACTGTGTACTCTGCATCCTGCAACATTATGCCGTGTAGGATAAAGGCGCATCACTGCAATGTCTTGGCGTAAGGCAA